CTCCCCCATAAATATACCAGCAATTTCAACTGTACTGTTGGAGTATTCAAGCAATCATGCTGTTGTGTGTGTTAACTGCAAAATAAGATGCATGAAGCTGATTGGTTAGGCAATGTACGGGGTGATGTCTGAGCCTGGAACTTTTAAATACTGTTGCAGTTTTGTTCAGGCTCAAGCTATGCAAGTGTTCAGAGAGAAGTAAGAGAGAAGGAGATAGAGACAGACTGATTTACTTCTTGGCTACTGGAGGAAGAGTCTCTCATACGGACAAATACCATTTTAAATGTCTCTGAAAAGACATTTAGTAAGTTGGTGCAACTGATCATATTGTGCACATGTTGTTCTGAACTAAGAAGAGTAAATTGTTTGTTCTTTATTGCTCATCTGCGTGGCATATTTTCTTTCCTTGCCAAGGCAGTGTATGGACTACAGGCGGTTTATTTTACATTCCACCACAGAACTTCTGCTGACTTTCTCATCTGATGCACACAGAGAAACAGTAAATGAGGCCTATGTACAGGTCAAGTTAACCAACCCAAGCCATGTTGAAATCACATAACTGTCTGAAGTCCTCATGCAGTCTTTTAACAGTTGCATTGCTAAAACACCTCTATTGAGGCCACCCTATTAATAGATGGCCACTGTAGCAAGAATCTGAAACATAAAAGAAAAGGCAAGAGTATAAAGAGCAGTAAAAGGTGGAGCAAGTGCAATCTGCCCCACAAGGATTGCTAAGGAAGATGTGGACTTCACTGGTTGTGAACCAAACATCGTTCTCTTGGCTGTGGAGCCAGGTCTGTTGGAACAACCTCACAATGTTGTTCATTTCTGTCACTCTGCTTGCTCTTGCCCTGCTGTTGGAATCTGTAACATGGAGGAAAAGATGTAGTCGCTATCCTCCAGGACCTACCCCTCTGCCTTTCATTGGGAACTTGCTGGAGTTTGATAGAAGAAATCCATACAAATGCATTCTCCGTGTAAGTATTGGCTTACCCAGTTTTCCAAGCAAGGGCATCCTATGGAATGACAGCATTAGTCAAGACTTAAGGAATTACTATGCTTTAAAAAGCTCATGTAACATGTCTATACAGTAAAATAATAATTGTACTTCTATGATTTCAACCTTATAAATGAAACATAACCTGTATTCTTTGGAATCAGCACTGAGGGCATTACATTTTATGACAGTTTTAACCTGATCCAGGATCTTGGATTGTTCGTACCTTTGAAGATTATATAGAAAAGATTGGAAAAACCACAGCAATGCATTGAAAGTGTTATAGGAAAAGTGTATTCTTTAATCCAGGGGTCCACAAACTTTTAAAACAAAGGGCCAGGTCACAGTCCCTCAAACTGTTGGAGGGCCGGATTATAATTTGAAAAAAAATGAAATAATTCCTATGCACACTGCACATATCTTATTTGTAGTGCAAAAACACTTAAAAACAATACAATAATTGAAATGAAGAACAATTTCAACAAATATAAAATTATTAGTATTTCAATGGGGAAGTGTGGGCCTACTTTTGGCTGATGAGATAGGATTGTTGTTATTGTTGTGTGCTTTCAAGTCATTTCACACTTAGGTTGACCCTGAACAAGGGCTGGGTAAATGACCTTGAAGGGCCGCATCCGGCCCCCAGGCCTTAGTTTGAGGACCCCTGCTTTAATCTATATAAATAAAGATGTAATGTTCGTTTGTGGGATTAACATAACTCAAAAACCACTGGACGAATTGACACCAAATTTGGACACAATACACCTATCAGGCCAACGAGTGACCATTACTCAGCAAAACATTGAAAAACACAGGAGAAGAGACTTAAAAAGCCAAAAACCAAAAAATACATTACAACGTATGCACAAAACCACATATATATATATGGAAACACACATATACACACATATATACGCACACAAAACACATATACACAGACTGGGCCACAGCAATGCATGGCAGAGGACAGCTAGTAATTCATAAAGGACACAACCAGTTAAAGGCTTTTGGAGATGACAAATTGCTTGCTAAAATGTATTTTTTAAAAAGCAACAGGATATGTCTGTACATCACTAGACAACTCATCTTAAACTGTATTTACCTTTCTCTACTATAACTTAGCAGCAATATAAACTTCTAAAAAATGGGAAGTTCTGTGTTTGCTCACAAGTCCGGCTTTTCCTCAATGCTAGATACGTATTGGATCATAGCCTTCTGGAAGAGACAAGAAGAGCCATTCAACCCATAAAAATATATACACATGGAATCACACAGCAGATTTGTTGTAGCTTCCTCCATGTGCTCATTGCATCTTCACAGATGTATCATTACTTGCAGAATGATCCAAGTGTTGTGAGATGAGTGACAGCAAAGAGGGACATGAATCAAAGGGCTCTTTCATACTGGAAATGTATGTCAATTTGAACCATAGCATTCAATGTTATTTTCTATGCTTCTTGCTGTTTTGTGCTTTGAATAGACATAGCCATGGTAGTCCCGATCAGAATGCAAAGTGACCTTGTAGCATCTTTGAGACTGAGAGAAAATATACTGGTGCACTTTTTAGTTGTCTTCAAGTCACCTTAGACTAACAGTGACTCTATGAATGTGAGACCTTCAAGTGATCCTGTTATTAGCTGCTCTACTCAGGTCTTGTAGACTTAAGACTGTGGCATCCTTGATGGAGTCTATTCATCTGGAATGCAGCCTTTCTCTTTTCCTACTGCTCCCCAATTTACTAGGCATTATTGCTTTTTCTAGTGAGTCATGCCTTTTCATGATATCACCAAATTATGATAACCTGTGTTTAGTCATTCTTTAGAGCATCTTGGGTTAACTAAAGTGAAAAAAAATTAACACAGGTATAAAAATAAAATTTCTTAAGAAAGGTGGCAAACCGTACAGAGATGAGATCGACAGGCGTCTGTAGATAAACCAAGTAACAAGGCATGGCACAGCTGCAGCCATTCAGAATCTTATGCAGAAAGATCAGGATTGGCAATTCCTCAAATCTGGGAATAATTTGCATACTATGCAAATTCAGTACATTATTAGTGCATATTTTTCATCTACTAGCATCATATCATTTTTTTACTATTACAGTTGAATAAAGGGAACCAGTACAATGTTTAAAGTACTAGACTTGAAACCTAAGTTCAGATCTCTGCTTGGTTATAGAATTTATGATGGCATCTTAGGCCACCACTCAGTTAAAGGCTAAATATTTTATTAGTGGTAGAAAACAGTTTAATTATTTTTAATCGATTTTTCTTCAAAATCTTCGTGATAAGTGCAACAAAGATGGAGGACAAATGACAAGGTCTGGCCCAAGGCGAGGACATGAGGGACAGGAGACACACAGACCCTCATACACAAAGCAGGACAATGGGATACTACCACTGTATATTATATTTTTCTTTTCTGACACCAAATATGTAATAAGATTCCTTTTGCTGCCATCTTCTATTGTTTCAAAGGCCACCTACTTGCCACAATGTTTAAGAAGACACATGAACTCTTCAGGTGAAACAAAACAAGAATATGTGGTTTTTTTGTTCTTGAACAGTAAAAATACATAGTGGTTCACTAGCTTCTTGTGTGCTGCTGCTAACACTGCTTTTGTTTTGTGTGTGGCTGCTTGGACCACTCATTCTTGCTTCCCTCATGTCTGAAATTCCTGAGTGGACTTTCTCATACACTGACAAAATTGACTGCGGAGTGGCCACATTTCTTTCCATATCTTTGAGAACTAGAGAGTTGCTCTCTCTTTTTTTTTAACTGAAAGCTTGGGATCTGGGCCAAATGATGGTCCAAATGGGCACCAGGTGGCATGTTTAGAATGTGGGGTAAAATTCAGCTATTCAGGTGAGATAAAAACCGCAATATAAGCTGAATTAAAAATGGAAATCATGCAGCTTTCCAAATGTTGCTGGGTTGCATTTTATTGTTGGGATGGATTTAGGGCATAGAGAGTAAATAAGACTATCTAAATTTACTGGAGTCAGAAAGAGGGGGTGATACCCAATGAGGCTTTAATTATTCTATCATTTATAAGTTATTGATGTCATTGCAGAGTTTCTGGATATTGTTGTCATCCCGAATGAGTTTATCTGTCTTTCTCTATTGCTTTCCCCTCTTTTTATAGAATATCTGTTAATTTAAAAAAAATCATGTCAGAAGTGACTTGAAAACATACTGCAAATTGCTTCTGGTGTGAGAGAATTGGCCATCTACAGAGATGTTGCCCAGGAGACGCCGGGATGTGTTACCATCCTGCTGGGAGGTTTCTCTCATGTCTCATATCTGTTAATTAGAGGGAAAAATTTCTTCCTGTCAGAAGTGACTTGAGAAACTGCAAGATGCTTCTGGTGTGAGAAAATTGGCTGTCTGCAAGGACGTTGCCCAGGGGATGCCTGGATGTTTTGATGTTTTACCTTCCTTGTGGGAGGCTTCTTTCATGTCCCCACATGGGGAACTGGAGTTGACAGAGGGAGCTCATCTGCGCTCTCCCCGGATTCAAACCTCCGACCTGTTGGTCATCAGTTTTGCCAGAACAAGGGTTTAACCCATTGCGCCACCAGTGGAAAGATAAATAGCAATGACTTCATTGGTATGAATAAGAAAATATGTGATTCAACAAGGGAAGCTACCTTTAGAAAAGGCAGATGCCATTCTTGGAAATCTCTATCTTTTCTTTCTTTTTAATAAATTAATATTGAAACTATCTTTGAAAAAGGATTCTAAGCTTGAAATATATTCAATGTTTTGTGTTTTACCATATATTCTGGTTACATAGTTTGGGCTTCTCTGTGGTTTTTCTTCTGTATTTTAAACTGACCCCCCCCCCCTTTCTTTATTGTCACAGCTGGTGGAAAGATACGGACCAATCTTATCAGTCCAAGCTGGATGGAAAAAATTTGTAATACTGAGTGGGTTCCAGACAATAAAGGAGGCACTGGGACAAAAAGCTGAGAACTTCACTGAGCGATCATCAATACCCTTGATGGGTATCATAGGCCGTGGAAAGAATTGTGAAGGCAAGTTTTCCTTGTGTTGTGATGGAATCAACTATATATGGTACAGCAAAATGATTGACAAGTTCACAGCTAAAAATTGGTCTTAGTATCACAATGTTGGTAGGCACCTAGGTGGTAGCAAGGGGACAACTGTCATCTGTTGCCTGCATCGGCAAGAGCAATATGACTTATAGCACAGGAAATGATAAGAGTCGATACATGACTGCTGCTCCTGTTGACTCAAAAAATTAAGAGTTATTCCTAACCTGTCATTTGGAATATTAGAACAAAACACAGCTATGGTTTTCAAAAAAATGTTTTCTGAATTATTTTTTATCTTTTAGGAGTCCTTGTGGCCTCATGTGACAATGGCTGGAGGGAGCAGAAACGATTCTGTGTCTCCAACCTGAAAAGATTTGGAATGGGGAAGAAAACACTTGAAAAGAGAGTGTGTGAAGAAGCTGGATATTTGTGTGCTGAGTTGAAATCTCAAGAAGGTACAACTTATTCTTGTGGACAATGGGAAGGTTTGGGATGAATCTAAGAAAGAAAGATAGTTCTTATGCCTATGCTGGTAATAGGGGAGGATAATTATGATTTTGAGCCATTGTGATGAGGAAGGATGCAACATATTCTAGATTGTATTGACAACAAAGGAAACTATGGGAAATGCTAAAATGGAGAGGTTCTTAAAGCTCTGTGAAAGTTAATAAGGGAATTCAGGTCAATGCTTGCTAGTTTGGATTGGCTGTTGGGATTATGCCTGAATAATACTTTGTTGTTGTGGAATCAGTCCACCAAAAATCTTGGGCAGTGATAGCATAACTCTTATTTGTTGTTCTTTATCTTATATAGGTTTTCCTTTTGACCCACATGACTTCATCTACACTGCAGTGGGCAATATTATCTGTACATTAGTACTTGGTGATCGCTTTGAATATCACAGTAAAAAATTCCTGGCGCTTATGCATTCGACTGAAGGGATCATAAAGGCAGCATCCAATAACTTGTCTCTGGTATTTTTCTGTTTGATTGATTAAAGGGGAGCGGCTACCTGAGATTTGGCTGTTGAAAACAAACAAGACATCCAGGTCACCAAAGTAGTCTGTCTGAACTAGTTATTATCACTGTCAAGATATAGATAATAACTAGTTAATTGGGAAAGATTTTGGCATTCTGAGGACTTAGACACAAACAAGTAATGACTGTCACCACTGAGTGTACAATGTTCCCTTGCTTATCGCGAATGTTACGTTCCAGGACCACCCGCGATAAGTGAAAAAACACAAAGTAGGGATGCTATACTGTATATGTACTCCCTCAGCTCTGCCCACTCCTCTCTCCCTCTCTCCCCTCTCTCATGGCTCGCCTTCCTTGGGCAGCTCTTCTTCCCTCTTCTTATCTCCGGGGGCTCCCTTTGGCAGGTAAGAAGAGTTGGATGTTGCTTTTGCTGCTGTTCTTTTCCCCATCTTCCCTCTCTCTGGAAGATGGCCCACCTCTCTCTCTCAATCAATCTCTCTCTCTCTCTCTCTCTCTCTTCGGAGCGTGTGCCCACTGTTCCTTCTACAGGGCTGCCTCCCCTCCCCTGGGGTTGAGGGGTGGGGGCAAAAAAGATGAAAAAAGGAGAGGCTTCTCCCCAGTTGAGAGCACAGTGGGAGCACCGGAATGGGGCGCGTGGTTTTTATGGGAGTGGGAGCAAGCAGCCTCTCCCCTCCTGAAGGTCTGGGTAAGGGTGAGAAGGCTGAGCCTACGCTGCCGCTGCCGGCCCAGCCTCGCAAAGACTCCCAGATCTACGGGAATCCATCTATCCACCTCTCCTTCCTCCTCCAGTATTCCCACGCTACTTGTATACTGTATTTTAAATTCTTTTTTATTTGAAAAACCGCGAAACAGCGAGTCTGTGAAAAATGAACCGCGAAGTAGCGAGGGAACACTGTATCTCTATCCAGATCTACAATTGTTGGGAAACAGGAATTGTGAGGCTCAAAATAACCCTTACTTGGGGGTGATTCCACAAAAATATAGCAGAGTGCCAGAAGCACAGTTAAAAACCAGCATTAGCTTACATGTAAAGAGCAAGGATTGGTTTCCACTCAACAGGAAGGAACAGAATTGCAGGTCTGTCTTGTCCAAGCACTTCGAGTTGTCTGGGGCTTAGTGCCAACTCAAGCCTCCGTTTCCAATTCAGGAAGTTCCCTCCTTCATCTTCCAGTGTGGGGAGATTTAAAAATGATTCTTGCCTTCTTTCCATGGTTATCAGCTTCCAAAAAGAAACATCCTCAAATAAAACTCAAAAAGGTTTCAAAATCATGGGAAAAAATTCCAATATCAAAACCAGGAAAAATAAAAAGCTCAAGAAAATTTCTTTCAGAACCTTTCTCTGCTCCTCTTTTCAAGGCGATCCTTGAAAAGCTCAGCATACACATTCTGGCCCTTAATAACCCATTGTTGGGAATCAGGAGCTGTTAGGCTTAAAATAACCCACACTTGGGGGAGATTCCACAAAAATATAGCACAGTTCATAACCAGCAGAAGCTTACATGTAAAGAGCAAGGATTGGTTTCAATTCAACAGGATGGAACAGGATTGCAGATCCACAACCTCATAGCTTCTAAAAATAATGTTTATTGAAGTCAAAAGAAATTCATTCTGGATAGGAAAGGTCCTTGGAGCTAACTAGCTTCACTGAGCTATCTTCTAAGGCAGGGGTCTTCAAACTAAGGCCCGGGGGCCGGATGCGGCCCTCCAAGGTCATTTACCCGGCCCTCACTCAGGGTCAACCTAAGTCTGAAACGACTTGAAAGCACACAACAACAACAACAGCAGCAACTACAACAATGCTATCTCATCAGCCAAAAGCAGGCCCACACTTCCCACTGAAATACTCATAAGTTTATATTTGTTAAAATTGTTCTTCATTTCAATTATTGTATTGTTTTAAAGTGTATTCTGCAATACAAATAAGATATGTGCAGTGTGCATAGAAATTCATTCATGTTTTTTTTCCAAATTATAATCCGGCCCTTCAGTAGTTTGAGGGACTGAGACCTGGCCCTCTGTTTAAAAAGTTCGAGGACCCCTGTTCTAAGGAAAGGAAAAAGGAAAAAAAATAGCCATGTCTACTACATCTTGCCTGGACAATGCATACTCACTCTAGAAGAACCAAAGAAGAAGAGAGACCCAGAAAATGGAGACAGCCCAGGGCAATAAAAATACCTTTAAAGAGGAAGTTACATCTTCCCTGAAGAGATCACATTGCTAAATATTCAAAGGGGGAGGAGATAGTGGCATGCAAGATGAGCAAGACAACACCCCTTCTAACCCCTTCTTAAGATAGGCATGCATAGGAATTTGAGGAAGGAATCCCTCACTCTAATCTATCTAGGTTAACTACTCATTGAGGGCTAGAGATTTGTGCAGTCAGGGATGAAACCCAGCAACAATGCCCTATATACCAGGAACTGATCTGCTTTGAACTGGATTATATGATAAGCAGATAATCTGAGATCAGAACCTGGGAGACAGGGCAGGGTACACCAACCTCTGTGGAGTTAGGAAACATCAATGCTGACATTCATTCCAGGACAGGATGCAATTTGAGTGGGTGCTTTCGATCAGTTTTTTTTAAAAAGTAGACACTTTATCTGGCCTTTTTAATATAGTTTAGGCATTAAATAAATAAATAAACTTTATTTCTAGATGGCTCTCTCTCCCCAGAGGGACTCAGGGCAGTTTACCTACATATAAAAAGGCAAATATTTAATGCCCCATCTACATCACTTAATATCAACAAATGAAAAATAATAAGAACATACTTAATACAATAAATTAGTATTGTTGTAGTAATGCATTGAATCATCCACCACGTTTTAAAACTAAATTGTATTCAGAGATAAACATAGTAAAAGAGCAGCAATACTGTAATACAATGAGCAGATCTTTATAACATACCAGCTGTACTCGCCCCATGTTGCTGTGGCCAACCTTCCCTCCCTCGTTCTCTCCTTCTTTCTTTCTCTCCTTTCTTCCCTCCCTCTTTCCTTCCCTTTTTTATTTTTCTTCTCTCCTTCCTTCCTTTTCTTCTTCCCTTCCTTCCCCCTTTTTCCTTCCCCTTTCCTTTCTCTCCTTTCTTCCCTCTCTATCTCTTTCTCTCTTTCCTCCCTACTGTTCTCTCCTTTCTTCCCTCTCTGCCTCTTTCTCTCCTTTCTTTCCTCTCTACCTCTTTTAATTCCTTCCTTCTCAACCTTTCTTTCCTTCCCTCTTTCCCTGGTGGCGGGTGTGGCTCCCCCCCCCCCCCCCCCCCCCCCCACTCACCGGACCCACCATGGTTCCTAGCACCTTCTCTGTCTGGCTGGAAGAGGGAGGATAAGGAATGGGAATAAAATCTAGATAAGGATGCTCTAACTGAGTATGAAGAGGCAAGCATTTAAAAACTTTCTCCCACCATGCAATGCATTTTCAAGCAAAATATATTATCAATATTCCCATTTGAGAAAATATACTTATGTACATTTTTTCCCTTTCATTGATCTATCAGTTTATTATTTATATATCCTGGTTTTCCTATCTTCCTGGACCTCAACAAAAAATTAAGAAAGACTGGGATGATTTCAATACAATTATAAAAGAGATTGTGAATGAACATAAGAAAACAAGAGGTCCCAACAATCCAAGAGGTTTGATTGATGCCTTTTTGGAGGAGATTGAAAAGGTAGGAAAGGTTTTATGGAAAAGATTGCCTGTCATGTCTATAACTTTAAAAAACCCCTGCAAACTATTGATAAAAGACTTGGTTGTTCAGTTGAATTATCAAGTCACAGTCAAAAAGTTGACATTCCCTGTTATAACTAGAACGAGCAGGTGAGAAGAGGAAATATTTTCTAGTGCTCATACTAAGAAGATTGATTTGATAGAATGGGTTGCTGATGCACGAATATGGGTCACTCTGTAGCAGTACCACATATCTGCGGAAATATATAGAGCTAAACTATCCTTTTGGCAAGAATCCTGTCCATGCATCAGTATGCTTCCCATTTGATTCCCTTAATTTGTCCCTCAGAAGTGAAAGCTTTTTTGTCTAATAAAGGGGAGGAGAGAGGGTTGTGCTCTTTTAATATTTGTATATTTTGAATTGTATGCTGATATTTTTATGTTAAGCCACTCTGAATCTTCTGTGAGAGGGATAAAGTGGAGTATAATCATCATCATCATCATCATCATCATCATCATCATCATCTCAGCTGTTATCAGGACCTCAAAATTGAACTGCAAAGGGTGTAGTGCCAAAAGATCTCAGCCAGCATTTGGAAACAATAAACATTGGCAAAATCACGATCTGTCAACTGCAAAAGGCCACCTTACTTGGGTCAATAAGGCACCTACAACTAGATGAAGTTGGAGGTAGTGGCTGTTGGGCTCCTAGTTGTTATACTTGGGCCTGCAGAGCAGCCACTGTAGCAGTGAGCTGATTCACATGATCTTGAAGAGCCTGGCTCTCTTGAAGCACAGTCTTCACTACTAAGGAGGAGTTGTTGGACTGGAAGCAACCTGTCCCGCTCTCAACGTTTGAAGTAGAATTCAGGGTGCCCAAAGTTCAACTGCCACAGGAACAGGAGGTATTCAATATCAAGCAATCCAGGGTCATGAAATTGTAACTCAGAACAGAGTCCAAACAACCAAGGCAGCAGAGTCAACAAACAGTTCCAGAGTTATAAATGAAGTATTATTATTATTTTATTGACACAAAAACACAGTATGTCACAGCAAACGAGATATATATGCTGGATTTCGTATCACAAAATCACAAGACGAACACTTCCCAAACATCTAGGACTGTGTGGTGTATTTTCGAATGATGCGTGCAGATTCAAGTAACAGTTGACAGATTGTGATTTTGTCAATGTTTCCAAATGCCGGCTGAGATCTTTTGGCATGGCACCCAGTGTGCCAATTACCACTGGGACCATTATTATTATTACCCCATTTTATCTCCCCAAAGGGGACTCACAGTACTTACAATAGCTGAGCCAGGAGTTGCCAAGAGGGGAACCAAAATATTATTTCCAGTAATCTGACTGGAGAGAGTTGTGTGCTGGTAAAAACCCATATTCCAACAAGTATTTAAAGAGTGTGTTTCACATTTATGTGCATGAAGCTTTTCACTGTATTGATGGAGGGTGGTCTGTGCCAAGTTTTGATTTAATTAATGTTACAATATGAATCAATTCCTTTTTTGACTCCTTTTCTTTTCTCAAGTATGCCTTGCCACACTCATAAATACATAGCTGTATCTCACAAATACGGTATGAGAATTATGCAGCGCTGTATCTATTTCTTTAATGTCCATCAGGCCGAAGGGAACACAGAGACCAGTTTCAATGAACAAAACCTCATTCAAGTTCTTCTTGACCTAATTGCGGCAAACACTCAAGCCACAACTGCCACCCTCACCTGGGGGCTTATTTTCATGGTCCTTCATCCTGAAGTTCAAAGTGAGTAACCATTCTCAAGGAAAAGGAGCATCCTACCTGACATATGAATAGATCAGCCATATAAAATATCCTTCTTCCAAGAAATCTATATATTTCTCTGCCCAGAAATAAATCATATTGGTTTCTATAGTGCTTGTTCCCACATTATGGAGAATAGGATCACAGACTAATAATGCTAAATGATTAACATTTTTAGAAAGAGTCCATGAAGAAATTGATACAGTGATTGGCGGAGTGAAATCAATCACGATGAAGGACCAGTCAAATCTACCATATACTACCGCTGTAATCCACGAAATTCAGCGTTATGCTGATGTTACACCAGTTATATTTCCTTATGTGGCATGCAATGATACTGAAGTTGGAGGGTTTGTCATCCCTAAGGTATAGTCCTTGATTTTTATTATTTTATTTTGTAAATCATAGTTTTGAAATCAAAGTTTGATTGATGCTTGATGCCTGCAATGAACCAGAAACAACATTCAATTAAATTTCTTGACAGCATTAAATAAAAAGGCTAGCATTCATACAGGGATATTACATATATTTATGTATCTGTTACAAAGAGAGTATGGCAACTCTTAAATATTGACTGCCTTTGTAGTGTTATAGGACATTAGAAGAGCTTAGTTAATGCAGAATTGTTTTTGACCAAGAAGTATCACTGAGAGCTTATATATTTTATTGATGGGTTTTTATACCACCATTTCATGGGCTGTGTTGCATTTGCAATGTAGCATTATAGAATGCAGAAAGGTAAATATAAAGTACAATAAAAATAAAACCCCAACTGCACCTGCTAGAGGAGACTGGAATAAATGTGTTTCTTTCGAAAGGCCACAGTGAAAGCTTCTTCTTTCTGGGGTCCAAATAGTAGTGAAAAAGGATGCACTTGGATCTGATAGTGGTCCCATCTACACTGGCATATAATGCAGTTTGGTGATGCAGTTTAACAGCACTGAGCTGCATTATATGGCAGTGTACACTCATGTAATACAGTTCAATGCAGTTAAACTGTATTATGAAACTGTATTACATGGCAGTCTCAATGCTCAATGCTCATCGTACACTCACAGAATTAGTTTGTATGTTTGTAATACATGGGTGTGTGGTTTTTTGTTTTTGTTTTTTTTAAAGAAATAAAATATATGTTTGTTTTTTGCATTTGTCGACGTTGGGAAATCAACAGTTGGCCTAAGGGTGCACATTTTCCGAAACGGCACCCTTTCCCCATTCTTGATTTTATGTACTTGTTGAATAGCGTGTTGGTCAAGCTTTTCCCATGTGAAATCTCACACTGGAGAGTCCTTTGAGCTAAACAACAGTTCCCAAACATTACCTTCTGGTGCCAGTTATCCAGGAAAGAGCAGAACCATTGCAAAGCCTCATTCTCAGTTTAAGAAATCTTTGTAAAATGATGCTATCCTCAATATTATGAAAATACACCGAACCCAAAGAGTCACTTTCCCCTTGACTTTCTTGCTCAAAACTGGGCCTGAATTTTCAAAGTAAAGTTTCTCTTTGTGTTTTTTCCAGGAAAAAAGTATCATTTTCATAGAGTGCTGAGACTTTGATGAAAAGAAAAGAGAAAACCAAACCAACCCCATTTGATGATAGTATAGATAAATTAATCTCTTTATGCACACCTTAAATTGCACTGAATTAAAAGTAAACCCTCCAGCAAAGGGTCACCGCCTTGTCGGGGCGCTGGAGCTTGAGCACCTCAATGATGTCATGAGCGAAACCGTGAAGGGCCACCCAAGACGGGACGGTTGTGGCAGAGAGATCAGACCAAGCGTGATCCCTGGGGAAGGCAATGGCAAACCACTCCAGTATCCTTGCCAAGAAAACTAAATGGACCAGTACAACCAGAGATATGTCGGTATGCCATTGGAAGATGGGACTCCCAGGTCGGAAGATGGCCAAAATGCTACTGGGGAGGAGCAGAGGATAAGTTCAACTAGCCCCAGATGTGATGACGCAGCAGCTCAAAGCCGAAAGGAAGGCTAGCGGCCGACGGTACTGGAGGTGAACGACGAATCCGATGCTCTAAAGATCAACACACCATAGGAACCTGGAATGTAAGATCTATGAGCCAGGGCAAATTGGATGTTGTTATTGGTGAGATGTCAAGTCTAAAGATAGACATTCTGGGGGTCAGCGAACTGAAATGGACTGGAATGGGCCACTTCACATCAGATGACCACCAGATCTACTACTGCGGACAAGAGGAACATCGAAGAAATGGAGTAGCCTTCATAATTAATAAGAAACTCGCTAAAGCGGTGCTTGGATACAACCCAAAAAATGACAGAATGATCTCAATTCGAGTGCAAGGAAAGCCTTTCAACATTACAGTGATCCAAATATATGCCCCAACCACAGCTGCTGAAGAAGCAGAAGTAGATCAGTTCTATGAGGATCTGCAGGACCTACTGGATAATACACCAAAAAGACATTATTTTCATTACAGGAGACTGGAATGCCAAGGTGGGAAGTCAAATGACAACAGGGATCACAGGCAAGCATGGTCTGGGAGAACAAAATGAAGCGGGACGCAGGCTGATAGAATTTTGCCAGGAAAACTTGCTGTGTATAACGAATACTCTCTTCCAACAACCTAAAAGACGGCTTTACACATGGACCTCACCAGACGGTCAACACTGAAATCAGATTGACTACATCCTTTGCAGCCAAAGGTGGCGGACATCCATCCAGTCGGTGAAAACAAGACCTGGGGCTGACTGTAGCTCAGATCACGAACTTCTTATTGCCCAATTTAGAATAAAACTAAAGAGATCAGGGAAAATACACAGACCAGTTAGATATGATCTCACTAACATTCCTAGCGAATATACAGTGGAAGTGAAGAACAGATTTGAAGGACTAGATTTAGTAAACAGAGTCCAGAAGAACTATGGACAGAAGTCCGCGACATTGTTCAGGAGGCGGCAACAAAGTACGTTCCAAAGAAAAAGAAAACCAAGAAGGCAAAATGGTTGTCTGCTGAGACACTGGAAGTAGCCCAAGAAAGGAGGAAAGCAAAAGGAAACAGTGATAAGTGGAGATATGCCCAGTTAAATGCGCAATTCCAGAGGTTAGCCAGAAGAGATAAGGAACTATTTTTAAATAAGCAATGCATGGACGTGGAAGAAGACAACAGAATAGGAAGGACAAGAGACCTCTTCCAAAAAATTAGAAACATTGGAAGTAAATTTCAGGCAAAAATTGGTATGATAAGAAACAAAGATGGCAGGGATCTAACAGAAGCTGAAGAGATCAAGAGAAGGTGGCGAGACTATACAGAAGATCTGTATAGGAAGGATAATAATATTGAGGATAGTTTTGACGGTGTGGTGAATGAATTAGAACCAGACATCCTGAGGAGTGAGGTTGAATGGGCCTTAAGAAGCATTGATAACAACAAGGCAGCAGGAGATGACGGGATCCCAGCTGAACTGTTTAAAATCTTAAAAGATGATGCTGTCAAGGTGATGCATGCCATATGCCAGCAAATATGGAAAACACAAGAATGGCCATCAGACTGGAAAAATCAACTTATATCCCCATACCAAAAAAGGGAATGCGAAAGACTGCTCAAACTTCCGTACAGTGGCCCTTATTTCTCATGCCAGTAAGGTAATGCTCAAGATCCTGCAAGGAAGACTCCAGCAATACATGGAGCGAGAGTTGCCAGATGTTCAAGCTGGGTTTAGAAAAGGCAGAGGAACGAAGGACCAGATTGCCAATATCCGCTGGATAATGGAGAAAGGCAGGGAGTTTCAGAAAAACATCTACTTCTGCTTCATTGACTATTCTAAAGCCTTTGACTGTGTGGATCATAATAAATTGTGGCAAGTTCTGGTGGGATGGGCATCCCAAGCCACCTTGTCTCTCTCCTGAGGAATCTGTACAAGGACCAAGTAGCAACAGTAAGAACTGACCATGGAACAACAGACTGGTTCAAGATTGGGAAAGGCGTACGGCAAGGCTGCATCCTCTCACCCAACCTTTTTAACTTGTATGCAGAACACATCATGCGATGTGCGGGGCTGGATGAATGCACAGCTGGGGTGAAAATTGCTGGAAGAAACATTAACAACCTCAGATATGCAGATGACACCACTCTGATGGCCGAAAGCGAGGAGGAGCTGAGGAGCCTTCTAATCAAGGTGAAAGAAGAAAGCGCAAAAGCCGGGTTGCAGCTAAACGTCAAAAAAAACCAAGATTATGGCAACAAGAATGATTGACAACTGGAAAATAGAGGGAGAAACCGTGGAGGCCGTGACAGACTTTGTATTTCTAGGTGCAAAGATTGCTGCAGATGCAGACTGTGGCCAGGAAATCAGAAGACGCTTACTTCTTGGGAGGAGAGCAATGTCCAATCTCGATAAAATAGTAAAGAGTAGAGACATCACACTGGCAACAAAGATCCGCATAGTCAAAGCTATGGTATTCCCTGTAGTAACCTACGGATGTGAGAGCTGGACCATAGGGAAGGCTGAGCGAAGGAAGATAGATGCTTTTGAACTGTGGTGTTGGAGGAAAGTCTGAGAGTGCCTTGGACTGCGAGAAGATCAAACCAGTCCATCCTCCAGGAAATAAAGCCCGACTGCTCACTGGAGGGAAAGATACTAGAGACAAAGTTGAAGTACTTTGGCCACATCATGAGGAGACAGGAAAGCCTAGAGAAGACAAGTATGCTGGGGAAAGTGGAAGGCAAAAGGAAGAGGGGCCGACCAAGGGCAAGATGGATGGATGGCATCCTTGAAGTGACTGGACTGACCTTGAGGGAGCTGGGGGTGGTAACGGCCGACAGGGAGCTCTGGCGTGGGCTGGTCCATGAGGTCACGAAGAGTCGGAGACGACTGAACGAATGAACAACAACAAAAAGTAAACCTTTTTGCTTTGTGGTTTGTGAATTTGCACAAGTTTTATTGGATTTGGAATACATTTTGCTCTCTTTGTTGAGATACTCAGCCTGATTTCCCCACTCCATGATCTCACTGTGGTATTTCAAAGTCCAAGAGCTCCCTAAAGGAGAAATGTGAGAAAATGAAAACAAGTATTGTATGAGAACTAGGTGGTATTGTCACATGCCTGCAGAAAATGTCCCTTGTCCTCCCATTAAAGTCAAGGGCAACACAAGAAGCCTCCTCTGCTGACCGGGTGATGGCACATCTGCCCTCCTTTACCCATGGAGCTGACATGGCAGCGTCTGATGCACATGCTGCCAATTTTAGTCCCATGTGATGAGGCCCTTATATCTGCCATTTGGAAACTGAGTTGCTCAAGAACTTTTAAAAATACTAGGTGCACATTACCTGTACTATTAGAAATTTGCATTGAACAGTGATAATTTTGAGAAAAGTACACTGTTATTTGCACACTTTTGAAAAAAGAATATTTTAAAAATGTGAAGTTGTGAGTTCCCAGATACAAAATCTCTCTGTTCAGCCTCCAACCATTCCTGTATGGTCTTGAATTGTGAAAAGGTGTTATCCGCACACAAAAAGCCCTTAAAATGTATGAAACCATTACATATTTGTAGTCAGGACCCTGACCATAAAATCACTTTTATGTTAGATTGCCAATGTGTAGATTAAAATGAGCAGGTAACCTATAATTTTGTGACCACCAACACTGAGAAAGTTTCTCTTTTATTTTGTGTTTTATTTGTCTATGTCGACTGTTGTTTGACTTTATATTTTATTTTAACATGTTGGAAGCCCTGTGTGGGGAAAAAACAGCATATAAATTATTATCATTATTATTATTATTATTATTATTATTATTATTATTATTATTATTATTATTTCCCAAGCCATTGCAGAGTAAGCTATGTATTTGCCCTCCATTGTTTTCTGCTGATCCTCTGGCACAAAGGAAAATAAGCCTAACCAACATAAACCAGATGTCAAATCACTGAACAAGTCTCTAGAACAGAGCTTCCCAAACTTTTTAGACACTCATCATTTCGCAACACAGTCATTCAATTTTACTCGCAAACTAGAGGTTAAACCAACCCTTTATAAGAGATACAGACACATATAAATTATCATAATGAAATGTATGAGGGCCCAACATATCTCATGAAAAACTTTCATTTATATTTTTAAACAAAGGATTTATTGCTTATTTCAGACTCAGAGTTGCCCTGTTATGTTCATGTGACACACCTACAAAGTGGAGGTGACACATTAAAATGTAGCAAAACACAATTTGGAAAGCTCTGCTCTAGATTAGCAAGCCATCAAGGCAATGTGTTTCTACGCCCTTCGCAAGCTACTGTTTAGAAGGACTATTAATGTTTCCCACAAACCTCTTGTATCAAAACTATACTCTGAAAGTACAGACAGCTATTCCTTTTGAATGTAATGTGTTGATTAGATTCCACTGTGACAAGAGAGACAACTGGTATTATTACCACACAATTCTAACCTTTTTGTTTCTATCCCATGTTAGGAGACTCTGGTCATTAATCACTTGTCTTCTGTGCTGAAGGATGAAACTATGTGGGAGAAGCCACATGAATTTTACCCAGAGCATTTCCTTGATGCAAATGGACAGTTTGTCAAGCGAGAGGCCTTCCTCCCTTTTTCTCTAGGTAAATTAAAAAAAAAAAAGAATGGCTGAGATTGAGGGCCCTTCCACACAGCCCTATATCCTAGAATATTAAGGCAGAAAATCCCACAATATTTACTTTGAACTGGGTTATCCAAGTCCGCACTCAGATAATATGGGAATTTCTAACTTGATATTCTGAGATATAGGGCTGTGTGGAAGGACCCATAGAGAGGGAAAAAAATTAAATTGGTACTATGGTAGGTGCCACACTTTCACGGGACTTAAAGGCACAGGATGTGAAGGAGAAAAATGCAATTTTATTACCTGTTAAAATGCCTCTTTCAGAAATCACCCATAAAGTCACACTGGAGGAAATAGATTCCTAGAGAGGTGTTCAAGTAAAACCTGAGAGGAAACGGATTAAAATGATGTATAGCCAAAGTGTGGGATGTATAGCACCCACTCTCTCCATCTTCCACAGGGACCTCATGTTCCGATGTGCATTTGAAAATGGTTAGGGCCCCCTCTATCTTTTTCCCAGTCCAAATTGTCTGTCAGATTGAACTCAGCACATTATCCCTTATAATTATAGGGCCCTGGCCCTATAATCTGTTTTTGCACAAACCCATGCCCAGCCTTCTCTAATTTTGATCTGTTCACCATATTCCTGGTTCTGGTTATTGAGGTTGGCTTTGATTTATTTTAATGATGTTTTTATGTTTTACTGTTTTAACTGTGTAATTAGATTGTGATATGATATTATGTTTTTAAATATGTTTTTACTTGATTAACTTTGTTGTTATTGGGCTTGGTCCAGCTTGTAAGCCGCCCCGAGTCCCTTCAAGGAGATTGTGGTGGTATATAAAAATAAAGTTGTTATTATTATTATTATTTGAAACACAACAAGATGAGTCCACAGCAGACAAGATCACTCTGCTGGCTGTTGTATTGGATCACATATCTGACACTTCCCAAGTGTCTAGGATTGTGTAATGTATTGGTGAATAATGCATGCAGATCCCAGTAAGGTGGTTTTCTGCAGCTGGCAGCTGGTAATTTTGTCAGTGTCGATTGTGTTTAAGTGCAGGCCAAGGTCTTTAGGTACTGCACCCACTGGGACCACCTTTACTGGCTTATTATTATTAGAAATCAGGAGGAATCAGGTTAAGGGATGGAAAACATGTGTTTAAAAGGTGCCCTTTAAACCTGATTCTTCCTGAGAAACATACACCTTTCCATGCCTGTGTATACCAGCAGTCATGGGAGACACGTACTTTCCTTCTCTCCCCTATGTGGAATCTTCCAAAGCACGTGCATTTCTGAAAAGCCCGAAACAAATGATCAGTTGATCAGCTATCAAACTGAGAGCTCAGGGAAGCACAAGTGGAAAGCTGGACTAGAGATTCCTAAAAAGTCTATATTAAGCAAATCCACAATCAAGTACACAAAAAGTTAAACTTGCAATAGAGAACGAATTATATTGATCGTTGTTACAAAGATTTAAGATAGTGCTATTCAAGTTATGACATCCAGAATATATTTTTCATGATTAGTTCCTTTGAGAAGAATGTGTATCCTGTATACCATGGTGGTAAGTTTGCATCTTGGAGGTGTCATGTGGCACCTGGACCCCACTTTTGTGGCTTCAAAGCATTCAAAATGAAACTAAGAGGGAGGATGGGAAATGGATTCTGTAGTGTTTTTTGTTTTGTTCTCATGCACATAATATTCCATTTCTATTTCCCATAGGTCGCCATGCTTGCCTTGGAGAGCCTTTGGCTAAAATTGAGCTCTTCATCTTCTTCACTAGCCTCATGCAACGTTTTACTTTTCGCATTCCTGAAAACGCCCCTAGACCCTCAGAGGAAAGGAGATTTGCCTTGGTAGTCTTCCCATTACCATTCCAGATCTTTGCATTTCCCAGATAATGGTCGAGATCCTGTGATGTTGCATGTAGCACAATATTTTGGCACATGGAATTACCCTACAGCTTCCCTATCACCAGCCCCAAGACTCACCCTGCCATTCTCATATACCTTCCCCAGCTATTCCATTATTGGGAAAGAATGGGGAGGATCTGAGAAGCACTTGGCAATGTTCCCATTGCTAGATTCAAGGAAATCTTATGCTAAACTCCGCAGAGTTTTTGTGGACCCCCTGATGCAGATGATGCCATCCCTTTGCATCTGGCTATGGGAATAGGATCTGATACTTCTCAGATCACCTCCAGTTTCCACTAGCAGTAGATAAGGATTGGTTTCAGAATAACACAGTGAATCCTGGAGAAACATTAGTGGTTGCAGAGGGTAGAAGGGAATACCAATGACCAGTAGACTCTGCAGAAATTGCTCCAACTGTGCTTCATAAAAAGGAAAATCAACTTTTTTAGCAAGCCTTGCAAATGCTGATTTAGTATTAGCAAATGTTTGATTTTTATCTATACTTACATACCCAGGGTAAAGCTGTATTGGGTGAAAAAGAGTTGCGAGTTTTAGATCTCATCACACTAGAGAATGAATCCACTTTAAATCCGGTTGCTGCCTCTTTCAGAATTCTGGGGTTTGTGGTTTAGGGAAGAGCCTTTAACAGCCTCACTAAACTACAGTACAAACCGCAGAATTCTGCAGGAGGCAGAAACCAGATTTAAAGTGGATTCATTCTCTAGTGTGATTAAGTCCTGTCCAATTTGTTTGTCAATCATCTATTTACTGCCCTCTTGTGGTTCTGAGTGCTGCATACATCTGTACCGTACCTATAAGTCAATACCTAATTCTTTCTATATCTATACCGCCTTCTTGTTATTGCATCTGAGCACTACATACATTTTTAAGGTTTTGGGAGTGGGTTTTTTAGTTGAAAGTTCCAATTATTTTAGCTTGGAAGGGTAAAATCACCCATGATGGAAGGCCCGTTCCTGTAATATATCTTTTTATAAAATGAAATCACAATTTGGGTAAAATAAAATCACAGCTTCTGCAACATGGCCATACAGCAGAGAAAACTCATAGCAACTCAGTGATTCCGGCCATGAAAGCCTTCGACAACGCAAATTGACAGTTGTTAATTCCGGCCATGAAAGCCTTCGACAACACAAATTCACTCACCGTTTTATAGATACAAGTAAGCTTGCTTGATGCTCACAGAGAACTAAAGACTGAATTAATAGAGAGAACTGAATTTCATGAATGGGGATTTAAAAGAAGCTGGAATTCACATTGAGAACATAGTCTCCCTGTTGTTATGTGCCTTCAACTGATTTCCAACATTTGGTGACCTTATAGCAAACCCATTATGAAGTTTTCTTGATCTGGGGGAGGGATGTCCTTGTCTTCTTCTGAGGGCCCTTCCACCCAGTCATATAACAAAGGATACTGTAATGAAATGTTTAATTATAATGTATGTTTTAAATGTGTTTATTGGTATTGTGATATGATAGGTGCAGGCCAACATTTGCTGTGGTTGCCTTAGCTGATGCATTACCATAGCGATGTAGCCTGTTATAAGAATGTAACCAAGTTAGCTGAGCCAGAAGTCAAAGTGGGCGGAACTAACTGCCAACTGGAAGGAGCTCGCATTTAAAAAGTCAGTCTTTGGTCAGGGAACCAAAGTGGAAGGTTGATTCATGGAGAAGCTGAACCAAAGGGGTTTAAGTCTTTAACCAGAGGGCTAAAGGGCGGTCCTAGCTATGTGAGGGCAGGACTCAGGGATTTATTATAACCAGTTTAATCTTCATCCTTGGTATTTTAGGAGTAAAAGTAATTAACTTTGAAGTATAATCTAGCAGGGGTGCTAGAGGAAAGAGATTCCCAATAGTGTGACTTCAGTGTCAAATCTGAAGTAATCAAAGTGGGAATTTGGATTTAATGTTTGTCAGAAAGATTGAGGTGAAAGGTGCTCGTCAAGGAGTGAATATTCAGTTGAATTACAAGTAAAGTGTAGAAACCATAAGATTAAAGTGACCCAGTCAAGAGACTGAGAAAAGAAACTAAGTTTTGAAGAAAGGAAATAATAAACATTGAGGTGACAGAAGAGAAGCCATTCTTAAAGATTAATAGTAACCGTTTCATGTTATCAGAAAAACAAAGAGTTAACTATAGCAACAAGATATTGTGTAATCGTCTAGCTTGTGTGAACCTGAGTAATCTTTAAATAAAAATCTTTCTGTTCAGTTCAAATACTGAAGACTTGTGTCTTATTATTAAAGAAAAGATATTCTATAAAAGAGAAGGCTGAAGATCCTGTGGAGTTGAATACTGTTATAGTATTGTGTTACACACATTGAATACGCTTGGCGGGGATGAGAGACAGAGCCTTCTTGGTGGTGGCCCCCCGCCTGTGGAACTCACTCCCCAGCAAAATTAGGTCAAGGACATCCCTCCTTCCCTTCAGGAAGAACTTGAAAACGTGGTTGTGGGACCAGGCCTTCGGGTAGCAAGCTGACAGTAGCAATGCTGACAATGCTATGGAAAATGGACTATGGACAGGCTTCTGATTGTGTCGCTGGTTGCAGAATTTCAGTTCTAGGTAAGGCTAACCAGCCAGTACTATTTTAGGTGGATTTAATTTTAACAAATTCAATGTTTTTATTTACATGTAATTATTGTATTTATTATGTTGTATGAGGGGGCATTGAATCATTGCAGGCTGTAACCCACCCTGTCCCCCTGTGGGAGTTGAGAAGGGTGGGGTGCAAATAATCGAAATAAATAAAATAAATAAACCCCACTTCCAAAAAAACAGCTTTCTACCTCATCCTTACAAAAGCAACCAGTCTTCATCTGTATTGCATGAGTGGGCTAAGCAAAAGTCAGAGGAAAAAGCCTAGGGTGGGGGAGGCTGGCTTATATAGAATATGTACAAGCACTTCTTTGAAACTACATGATCAGATATCACATGAATGCTTCATGCACACACAAAATAATTAGGCGTAGCAACCTCCTTTTGGTTCAGTGGACTCAGGATAGCCTTTATCTGATGAAGCATTGTTGATGTTCCATATAAAGGCATAGTGATGTGGCACAACAGAGATGCTCTCCAGATTATGGATTCCCATGCTGCCTGGCTAATGGATGATGGGAACTGCAGTGTAGCAACATCTTAGGTTTGTCATCCTGAAACAAATCCTCATTTCGGCTTCCTTCAAAATATGTATGCCTTAAATTTTCTTCCAAATTTCCTTCTTGTTACTGAAAGAGAGGCGTACATACCATATTATATGGTGTCTGGGGTGTGTGTTTGTTTTCTGTAAAGCTTTCTGAAGCTTGTATGGATTTTTGTATCTGTTTATGCTAGTAAATATTAAAACATACCTATCCTTGCTCTTTGGGCTTGAATATAGCCCACAATAGATACTCAGTGATCCAGTCTTTTTTATTAAGGGTCAGCAGCTTATTAGAAAGAGACAATTCCAATAATTCTTCACAACTGATGGCTGGAACGAATGGAAACCTCTGTCCATCAAAATCTGGAAAGCCATAAGATTGCCCACTATGCTGTAAGTCAGGAGTCCTCAAACTAAGGCCCGAGGACTGGATACGGCCCTCCAAGATCATTTACCCGGCCCTCGTTCAGAGTCAACCTAAGTCTGAAACAACTTGAAAGCACACAACAACAACAATCGTATCTCATCAGCCAAAAGCAGGCACACAATTCCCATTGATATACTAATGTTTATATTTGTTAACATTGTTATTCATTTTAATTATTGTATTGTTTTAAAGGTTTTTTTGCACTACAAATAAGACATGTGTAGTGTGCATAGGAATGCATTCATGTTTTTTCCCAAATTATAATCCAGCCCTCCAACAGTTTGAGGGACTGTGACCTGGCCCTCTGTTTAAAAAGTTTGAGGACCCTTGCTTTAAGTGGTTCATCTGTAGTTAGGGAATCCAAATACCTTTATTTCATATATACATTTCCACTTAGAAGCCCAGAGTTTCTCTCCCTCAGATGTTTCTTTCCCAAGTGGGAAAATGGTATGTGGACTATTTGCTTAGTGTGTTAGTCTTGGCATAAAGTAACCACACAGACCTTAGGATAGTTTTTATATGATTTCTATTGTAAGAAATAAAATCCTTCTGCCCTCCAAACCACTTCCCCAAATTCACCAAGTTATCAATACACCACCACAAATACAAATATTTCAATAATTCTGTATTAAAGTGCAGTTCAAAAATATTACAAACAGATCTAAATATTTAAATTATGGAAGGCTGTTAAAACCTCCTGGATGCACCTAGAAGGGTATATTAGAAAAGCTGTTATACTGAATCATATGCTCAGTTGCTAGGGGGAAAATAGATAGAAAATAATTTGTGAACACCAAATTGTATATGGCTTGTGATTTTTCTCATTTAAAAACATGGAGGACAAGGAGGGGTTCCCTAAATAATTTGGTTTTATACAAGTTCTATTCCCCATTACACCAGTGGAGCAAAATTTCTCTTTAGAATAAACATAAGGAAAATATGAATGTTATATCTCACAGACAAATTAGTAACAGCTTAATTAAGACGGCCATTAATATAGGAACCTAATTGCCTATTTGACCTTCTTAGCTCAAATGTAATCCATCGCCAGCATTGTTCAGCTTCAAAAATCTTACCCTATGATGACAAACAGTTCTGACCCAAACGCCATTCCTCAAGTGGCTTTCTAAATATGTAAGGGCTCAGTTCTGCATATCTAGGGAACTGACAAGTTCAAATAGCTTCAGCAGACTGCTCAAGACTGTCCTAAACTACTTTCTACAATCATTTCAAATTCTGTAACAGAAACTGTACTTTTAGATATCAAACATACATCTGTCTTATCAAAACACCCTATCAAGCAATTATTGGCAGAGATTGATCCAATTCCCAAGAGGCCAACTGTTCTGCTTGAGTTTTGTTCTCAGAACACTTTGGCCAGTGTTCCTTGCTCTGACTTGTGTTCTCAATTTTTACACTTTTTTGCTTAACTGCATTTAAATCTTTGTTTCCAATTCAGATCAATGGGATTCTCCCTACATTTCCCATCTAAAGCCATTTGAGATCTGTTGCTATATGCTCCATGCCAGGATACACATTTCAGATAGTGATCAAATAGACAAAACAAAAAGAAGCAGGGAACTTATTACATACAATTTCACATATGATCCCATCTTTTCACCTAATAGGGTTTTTGTTTTGTTTTGCAAGGGATAGGTTAATTAAGCTGCAAAAAGCATAGAGAAGAACTTTGCTGCAAAGATATATGTGGTTTTAAAAACTATAATATGGAGATGTGGTGCTATTTTAAAAGACAGTATTCAATGTTTTGGTCCCTCTCTTTCTTCTCTAGCTGTCTTTGGAGAGTTCCATCCCCCTACCTGATACTTTCCCAGGAAAGCAATACAAGTATCTACACGTTTACAATGTTCCCTCTTATGCATTAAACTGCATGGAGTGAGAATTGCAGCATGTCAGACCAATGCTCCAAGGCATGCAGAGATGCCTGAAAACACATAATATTCCCCTCAGATCCAAAGCACGCAGAGATGCCTGAAAACACAATAATACTCCCCTCAGATCCAAGCATCTTTGTCACATTATGGAAGCAGTCTGTTTCATACAAAGAACTTCAGTATTTCTTGCTTATGTATGGGAAATGGCTTCATTTGGAGTAAGGATAATTCACCGCCCTCTTCCAAGTGAGGCTAAAACAGTCACGGCAGTCCTATCCTGGCCTCAGGAGAAAGAGCAAGCAGCCAGGAAAGCATTGCTGACATTGCTTTTTTGTACTGCCATGCTATAACTTTAAGAACAGTGGGTTGCATATGTCACCCAATTTGGTGCATGTTACTGACACAGGATGACCTGGAGACAGAACCAGGAGGAGGCGGCAACAGCAAAGTCTTCAAGGACAAGAAACATGGGAGGGTGACTATTGGGCTGTTGTTAGTTGTTCTTCTTCTCCTCTGGTGGTGCATAAGGAGGTGGCTGATCCTAAAACAAAGAGAAACTGCATTCGGTCAGCACACCCACGGTACATGGTGTCTTCCATTTTGCACAGTAAATCTAAGCTTTGCTTGTTTTCATAGCTTCTGTCTGCCATTAAGGATGCATCGCAGGTAACTAAACTGAAGGTTATATTAGCGCAGTGGTTCTCAACCTGGGGTCCCAAGATGTTTTGGCATAAAAACTCCTAGAAATCCCAGCCAGTTTACCAACTGTTAGGATTTCTGGGAGTTGAAGGTCAAAACATCTGGGGACCCCCAGGTTGAGAACTCCTGTATTAGATTAAGGTATTTGTGATGCCCAGCATTCAAGCTGGACAAACATCTAAAAGGAAGGACCTACACAGTATAATGTAGCACGTGAGAAATCACAATTACTCTGCAAAAATACACTACCCCGACAATACTACTACAGTGTATTATTACATCAGCACTGTGATGTAATAATACACTGCTTCGTGCCATTTGCATACACTTGGAGTAGGAAATGTAAGTGGCCAACTAAGAGGCCTGTCTGCCAACTGCCTCAAAAACAAACGGGAGAAGAAATACTTTCTAAAATGTTCAAGCATTGGTGGTATTCAAAGGGGCTTTTGTTATTCTTAATTGCAACCTGAATATTCTCTAAAGCTTATCTTTTCAACTACTGCTACTATTGGCACATACTACCAAAGATAAAAGCTGAATTTGTTTTCATGTAAATTTGTTTTCATGGTTGTGCAGTGGGTTAAACTGCTGAGTTGCTAAACTTGCTGATCAAAAGATCGGCGGTTTGAATCTGGGGAGTGGGGTGGGGCATTGTTAGCCCCAGCTTCTGCCAACCTATGCAAATGTGAGTAGATCAATAGGTACCAATACTGAAGGAAAGTAACAGTGCTCCATGCAGTCATGCTGGCCACATGACCTTGGAGGTGTCTACGGAGAACACCGGCTCTTTGGCTTAGAAATGGAGATGAGCACCACCCCCCAGAGTTGGACACGATTAGATTTAATGTCAAGGGGAAACCTTTACCTTTTTTAAAAAAAGATGCATTTTATAATATAACCCGCTAAAGTATGTTCCCCTGAATTCCAAAGCAGCAAAAATTAAACAAAAAACTCCAGTATGTCACACTCCCTTGCTTTCCTCTCCCCACAAGACCAGCCTCAGAAGAATTCCTTACCATAGGCATGTAGACGTTATGAGGATTAGCTGGGTTATAATATGCACTGGAAGCTGCCTCAGATGCTTTATTTCCACCTATAACACAATAATATAATAAATCAGGGTGTTTTGTTTGATTTTTAATCTATACAACACATAGACTGGTGTCCTGTTGGTTTATGCATACAAAGGTTCCCCTTTGGAAGTGCAGCTACATAGGTGCTCCCATTGTGCATACACAGGCAAAGATACCTTTGAGTGAACATTCACCTGTGCAAGGTTTGGGTAGCACAACAAATGCATAATTCCACATGGAAATGTTTGCTACACAACCTCAATATGGAATTTTAACAATAGTTAAAATTCTCAGATCATTTTGGATGAAAGGAAAGAACATATTCTGCATTTTTGAGAAGAAAGAACAGAGCATGACTAAGCACCCAGCAGCAACTTGGTTTTATATGTACTGAACCACATTGTATTTGGAAAGTCAGGAAACTTCAAAAGCCATCACAAAGAGTCTTAGATCAAGTAACACAATTACCAAGAGCATAGCATGCACATATCCAGGTACCAATCTATATTTTCCCAGGGATTAACTAACCACATTGGATTTTAACCAAACCAGTGAGTAATTTGGGATCCAAAGCACCTGATAACTTAGACTGTTTCACAGGAGTCACTTCACATCACTCAGAAGTTCCAAACAACTTTGTTACTAAAAGGCCACTAACAAAATCTGCAGGATAATAATCACATTTAATTCATTCAGAGATGTTCCATAAAATATATTATTTTGGCTCTGCAGACTATATTCAGTGTTTTGAACTATTAGAAGAAGCTCCAGGATTTCATTTTAAGACAGGTGTTCCTCAAGCAGCAGAAAATGTGGAGGATCAAAAGAGATGCTCAGGCTCACAACATCTGGAAAATTCACGCTTCCTCAAAGAACCTACTGAAAATGTAAAGAAATTGATGCCTCCTCCTGAAAATGCTCATTGGAACTTGGATATTCTCTTGATAGGCCACACCAAAATCATTGGAAAAGACTTTCTATAACCAGAAGCCATCTCTGGGTGATTTAGGGTGATATATTTTTCTGCTTTGGAGTAACAACAAAGTATTTTTAGTCCTAAAACGTGACTTGAGTGATGGGAAGCAGTGGGGGTACTCAGTAAGCCCCAAAGTGAAAGCCATCCTGTAGCCTTACCTGGCATTCCTGGTTCCGTCCAGGTTCTAGGGGCTGAAGGTCCTGCCTCAGGTGGTGCTGAAGGTCCTGCTGAAGAAGGGCCAGGGTACGGAGGAGGAGGAGCCATATACATGGGACCCATTCCAGGAGGTGGAGGATACATTCCTGGGAAAAGGAAACAAATTCCATTAACTGTCCATGCCTGCATCACTGCTTCTTAAACTGTGGGTCGTGACCCCAAATGGGGTCCCTTAAACTCAGTGTTGGGGTCCTGAAAAATCTGGTACCAATAAAAAAAATTAGAATTTCTTGCAAATGCTGATTTGTTATCAGTAAATGTTTGAGGTTTATACCTATGTTGTATGTCTAAATACAACATATGTTGTATGTCTAAATACACTGGGTCAAAAGGGGGCCCAAGTGGAAAAGTTAAAGAAACCCTAGCCTACATTACATTATGTTCCAATAATCAGCCTGGGAGTCTTCCCATATCACTTACTCACAAACAAGCTGCACAAATATGTGCTGGTCCTGTCATTATTCCCATTAGTTGCGTAAGCCAGCAGAGGTCATCTGAGCTCTGCACAGATAACAGTGGAGCTGGTGTATGAAGATAAATCCTTACTTGTATCTTGTCCAGAGAAGCTTTCCTTCTCCTCAGTTAATGTATTCTATGTCATCTATACTTAACAGGATTGTTTCTACAATGGCAACTCTTTCATGATGCTGTTCATATTTACATGTAGGTCAGTTGCTTCAATGGTTTCATTTATATGGCATGGATAGTTAATAATTCTGTCTAATTCAGACAAGACTGAGCATTCCCTTATCAAAAATGTTTGGGAACAGAAGTATTCCATCTACCCCCCCCCCTTTTTTTTTTTGGATTAAGGAATACTTTAATATGCATAATGAGAAATCTTGGAGATGGCACCCAAGTTGAAACAAAAAATTCATGTATGTTCCATATACATTTTATAAGTAAAGATAAAGGTTTCCCCTGACATTACGTCTAGTCATGCATGACTCTGGGGGGTGGCGCTCATCTCCATTTCAAAGCTGAACAGCCGGTGTTGTCCATAGATACCTCAAAGGTCATGTGGCTGGTATGACTGCATGGAGCACCATTACCTTTCCACAGAAGCGGTACCTATTGACCTACTCATATTTGCATGCTTTCGAATTACTAACTTGGCAAAAGCTGAGGCAAACAGCAGGAGCTCACTCCACTCCCTGGATTTGAACCACCGACCTTCTGATCAGCAAGTTCAGCAGCTCAGTGGTTTAACTTGCTGCACCACCAGGGGCTCCAATGTATCTAAGGCAATTTTATACAGTGTTTTTCATTATTCTGTGTATGAAACAGTTTGTATACATGGAACCATCAGAAAGCAGAGATGTCACTGTATCAGCCACTGATATGGATAATTCTAGATTATTTTGGAATTCAAGAAAAGGGATGCTCACCCCATATTATATATTACATGTAATATATATCACAAACGAGTACCATTTAAGCATGATATGAACCACACTGTTAATTCCTTCACCTTGAGGAGGTGCATATGGATATCCCATAGGCTGGGGAGCAGGTCCATATCCATTCATTTGCCCAGGCACATAAGCATATGATCCATAAGGAGCTGGGGGTGGTGCAGCATATCCTCCTGGTGCAGGTGCATATCCTCCTGGAAAAGGTGCATAGCCCCCTGGAACAGGGGTATAGCCGTAGCCAAAGCTCTGAGCAGGAACTCCCCTGGAAGCTAAAAGTAGTATCTTTATTAAGCAATATTCCCCACAGAAAATAATGCAATAATAAATAACAACAAAATTTTATTTATAGACTGCCCTCTCTCCCTGAAAGGACTCTGGGCAGTTTACAACACAAAAAGGCAAATATCCAATGCCCAGACAAATGCAAACAAAATTTACAATAATGCAATATAATAAACATAATAATGACAGTGAACTTATTGTATAAAAATATTGATGTCAAAATGAAAAACAAGATACAAATAATCACATAGAAATAAGTTACACTAATCACACATTCAACATTAAACATCCCAAATGATAAAACATTTAAAATAAATGGAAATTGGCTGATTATAGTTGTTCTTGAAGTGTACCCACGTGACCATGAGGTACAAGTAGGTCAGCCAACATTCCAACTGATCTGCAATAATTGAATGCAATAAACTTCAAATTGCTAGACCTTAATAATTGACAGACTGCATTTAGGCAAAATGATCTCCTCGTCTATCATATTGATGACATTTAACAGTCTTGTATGTATAGCAGTTATGGAGGAGACTGGAATGGCATATATTATTGCATTTAATGATTAAATATTGCTGAAAACTTCCTTGAAGTACAGCTGTTGATTGGTATCACCTGAATCAAATGAAGCTCTAGAATACTTTGTATGGAGGAGTAAAGAAAAAAGGAAAACATCTTACCATCACTTGCAAGTCTAAACATCAGCTGTCCGAATTCGATGGCACCTCCGCTGAAGAAGCTTATCTTAAAGGAAGCTTGCCCTTCCCAGTCACCTAAGAAAAATATCAGGTTCACATTTGAATGATGGTGGCTACTAAAAAGACCATGAGGTACACTGCTTTGCTGAAGTCACCCACATTTCTTGGCAAGTGAAGACAATTAGTTCGATTTGACTGCAGCAACCAAAGTTTAAAACATCAAAACTGAAGAAGTGTTTCAGGGTGCTAGCAGAAGGTATCAGTACAGACTCTCTATACCAGTGGTTCTCAACCTGTGGATCCCAGATGTTTTTGGCCTACAACTCCCAGAAATCCCAGCCAGTTTACCAGCTGTTAGCATTTCTTGGAATTGAAGGCCAAAATATCTGGGGACCCACAGGTTGAGAACCACTGCTCTATACCATCAGGTGCTTCTCCCACAGCCTCAAGGACAATACCAAGGATTACTGTGGTCTTTCTCACAGCCACCACAAGTGGTTCAAAAAGGAGCTATTATTCAAAGTACCATACAAAACTGGTTATTTTCTGATAAAGATTGGAAGAAGTCATTTTGACTCGAAGTCCAACTGATTTATTTTTACTGATTCATTTATGACTTTAATGAAGGCCTAACAAGAATGGGACTAAACCCTTCACAGCATTCTTACTTCCAGGAGACAGGGAGGGGGCTCAAAAAAAATCTGAAACATGCTTCAAAATTAAAACACATTTCCTTTCCCTTTCCAAACCAAACACAAACAATCAGAGAAGTGGACAGAAGACTAGAGCAAATTCACGGAATCATTTACAAGCCTAGGGTATTTTCATGCTACAAGAGAATCCAATTTCTCACATTGTATGGAGAGATGCATCAGAAGCACACTTGAACAGAAAGAGCATAATGCAAGTATTTTAATTAACATGTTACGCACAGTACAAAGATACATAATAAAGATCTCAGTCACTTATAATTTTCTAAAATTATAAAGAGAATAAAAAGAAAAAAGTAATTGATAAATTTCAATACAAGTGGACTAAATATCTCAAACATATAGAAGCACCTTGCAAATTGACATATTTTTAGACATTTGATCCTATTATTTGTAATGTAATACTAATTTTATAATTATGCTACAACTTGACAGGAGCACACTACAATGTGCTCTGCTTTGCTGCAATGGAAAAGCAAAACTGAATACTTCCAGTAGAGCACTGGTTCCCAATCTTTGGTCCTCCAGGTGTTTTGGGCTTCAACTCCCACAATTCCTAACAGCTGGTATGCTAGCTGGGATTTCTGGGAGTTGAAGTCCAAAACACCTGGAGGACCAAAGGTTGGGAACCACTGCAGTAGAGTTTATGAATGACCTAGACACAAGGAATTTGTTTGTCCCTGCAAGCGGTTAATACACACCTCCTGGTTCGGCCTGAATCACTCCTTTGATGTAATTAGCAGAAAATACTGGCTGTTCAATGGAGCACCCTTTTACAAGGTAGTACGGCATAGAAAAGGACATCATTGGGTCCTTGCCCTTGGACACAAAAATGATCTGCAAGATATTGAGTTATCAAACTTAGTCACACATTTACTCTTTTAGAGAAGGTGAATAGCAGAATGCAGAAAATATAAAAATTATATGTAAAACAATCCACTACAAATCACTCATACCTTCAAGTTAGGCCAAGACAATTGCCCACAGCAAATTAAAAATGAAAAACTACATCACAGATCGTATTAAACATTTCTGCAAAAAATGGACCAAAAGAACTATATTTTTTCCTGTTCATTTATACAATGGTGTTCAGAAAGATCAACTTAGTAAGGTAAAGCCAACATGAGGACATCTTCCAAACTTACATATAAATTCAACTTAAGAACAAACCTACAGAGCCTATCTTGTTCGTAACTTGGGGACTGCCCGTAGCAATTTTAATTGTTTGTGGGTTTTTTGGGGAGAGCTGATTGTATAGAGTTGTACCTCTAGCTGCTGCAAGAAACCAACAGAATCCTGTCCAAAAGCAGCAGCAATTTAAAGCAATAGCTTAAATGCATGATTTTTTCAATATAGAATAAAAAATAAAACGAATGATTGCATATGTGGTTTGTTGCCCCTTCTTTGTTTTCATGCTTTTAAAAAACAAGCTACAGAATAAGTTCTAGAGAAATGTAGTCACAACAGAAAAAGCTTTGTTTCCAGCTCTTACCAATCTGCAAGATCTTTGTGAAAGGCATTGAAAATTAGCTGAGAAGACAATTGTAAGGTACAGAAAGATTTGTGGAGCAGGCAGACTTCAAATAATCTGATTCCAGCTTTAAAGGTCAGCAACAGTTTTGGAGTTAGGTGCCACCTCTACGCAGATGACACACAACTCTACTACTCATTTCCACCCAATTCCAAGGAGGCCTCTCGGGTGCTGGACGAGTGCCTGGCCGCTGTGTCTATCTGGATGAGGAGGAACAAGCTGAAGATCAAGCCCGACAAGACAGAGGTCCTCCTGGTCGATCGTAAACCTGACCGGGGTATAGGGTGGCAACCTGTGTTGGACGGGGTTACACTCCCCCTGAAACCATAGGTCCGCAGTCTGGGAGTCCTCTTGGACTCATCGCTCACGCTTGAGGCTCAGGCGTCGGCGGTGTCTGGGAGGGCTTTCGCACAACTAAGACTCGTGCGCCAACTGCGACCGTACCTCACGAAGGCTGATCTGGCCGGAGTGGTCCATGCCTTGGTCACCTCTAGGTTGGATTACTGTAATGCGCTCTACGTGGGGCTGCCCTTGAAAACAGCTCGGAAATTCCAACTTGTCCAACGAGCAGCGGCCAGGATGTTAACTGTGCTCCCTACAGAGAGAGGTCAACCCTCCTGTTCAAGGAGCTCCACTGGCTGCCGTTTATCTTCCGAGCCCAATTTAAGGTGCAGGTGCTTACCTACAAAGCCCTGAACGGTTTGGGACCAGCCTACCTGCGTGACGCATCTCCGTCTACGAACCCACGCGTTCACTACGCTCATCTGGAGAGGCCCTGCTCGTGATCCCGCCAGCGTCGCAAGCATGTTTGGTGGGGACACGAGACAGGGCCTTTTCCGTGGTGGCCCCCCGTCTCTGGAACACTCTCCCCAAAGATCTTAGACAGGCCCCTACATTGGCAGTCTTCAGAAAGAACTTGAAGACCTGGCTGTTCCGATGTGCCTTTCCCGATTAGGAAATCTCCAATACCAAGTCCCAGACGCACTTTATTAGAATTAAGACTGCTGCACACTGCACACTGCACTTGCCCTATAATCCTTACATATCACCTGTCACATTTTTAATCCTGTACCCTTTACTCTGGCCGGCCCAGTTTTATCTTGTTTGATGTATTGTTTATTGCTTGTGGTTTTGTTGTTTTAATACTGCTTTAATTGTTTAATTTGCTTTAAGTGTATTGTTATGTTGTGTATTGAGGCCTTGGCCTTTGTAAGCCGCATCGAGTCCTTCGGGAGATGCTAGCGGGGTACAAATAAAGTTTTTTAATAATAATAACACCGGGACCTAATATAAGTCTGGGGAAAATAGGCTGCTAATGCAGGTGTACTTTTTTGCATTATATACTTCTAACGTCTTTTTCTCATTAAAGCTTACACTTTAGAACCACAGAGCTGGTATTATGAGTACGTGCAGAGGAAGCACAACCCACTTTCTATAGGTTACAGACCAGGTGGTAAATCAGGCTAAACTGGCCTTAGGACTCAATAGGTCCTAAGGTTAAGCCAGGCATCTTCAAAATACTGATATCACCATAAAAGACAGAATAACTCCACCAAATGTTAAATTCTTTAGAATTTTCACTTTCAGAAAGATCATGAAGACAATTCCAAATTAACACCTCTTTCACAGAGGATGAGAGATCACAGCCCTTCTCTTTGTTCTGCTGAGGAAACAATAATGGCAACCATCCAATTTCCATTTTATGCCAGTCAGCAACCTTTCCCACATCTGAAGTCCTCACTGGAAATAACCTGAAAGTTCAATCATAATAAGTCTGAGAATCCTCAATGAACTTGTGGCAGATGATCTCAATATTAATAAAAGGAAAGTGAAACCCCCCTTTTTGCATAATTCAGCTTTCAACTGGGGTAGAAAATCATTCAAGTGAAGAAATAATCCAGTGCTGAAAGACCTCAGAACAGTTGCAACTGAAAAAAGTATTTTGTCAGTCAACTATAACTGGGATTAGTGTGTACATCTGAGTTGTGTTCTCAACTACACAAATCATTTTACTAGCATTTAAAATGTACTTGAAAATGCAACACATTCTTTCCCAAGCCTTACCCTGTAAGGAGTGAGAAACACCATTCCTTTCTTGGTGCCCTTGAAGACTTCTGGTTTACTAGTCACATCAGAAAAGGTCAGCTCCACATCTTTACAGTGTTTGAGAATACTTCACAGAAAGAGGGAAAAAGTAGGTAAGTTAACATTTGCAGTGAATTTCACAGAAAAAATACTGCAGGAGAATCTTGGAATTGTATTTAAAACAACAACTTTTCCAAGCTCTGATTAGAGCCAAAGAAGCGGTTCCACAATTCCAGCCATAAAGAGCCATTGGCAATCCAAGGATCAATGCAAAAAAAGAAAATGTAATTCAGTATACACTAGCTTTTGGAAACTAGGGTGCATTGCAATTCTATTGGACAACCCTAAAACTAACAAATCAATAGTAAAATTCACCAATCTTTTCTTCTGCTGACATTAGTAACTATCTCATCAAACCATTTTGAGTAGTGACTGAAAACTAAAACATTCCAGAGGGATTATTTTGTTATACCTCCCTGTCTAAAAGAAAAGTTTACATCAATGTCAATACCACTGTTCAAAAACAGCTTCGGTGATTAAGAACATAATCTTGTAATGCAAACTCTGTTGTTTGTTGTGTGCTTTCAAACCATTTCTGACAACCCTATCACAGGGCATTCTTGGCGAGGTTTGTTTAGAGGAAATTTGCTTTTATCTTCCTTTGAGGCTGAGAGGGCGTGACTCGTGGGTTTCCATGCCTAAAGGGGGATTTGAACCCTGGCCTCCAGAGTAATATTCCAAAGCTCAAACTACACTAGCTCACCTGGAATAAAATTCACTCAAACTGAATGTTTTACACATCAAGACATACATATTTCTTGTGATAAATATACTAAAGGGAAGTTCTTCACAGATAAAGGAAGAAGCAGACTGTAGATTATATTCAACAGTAGACTTCCTCAAAGGGGGTCTTTAAACAGAGACTGAATGAAAATTTTGGAGATTGTTTTAAGTGGGTATTCCTGCATAAAAGGGAGATAAGCCAGATAGTCCTTACAATGCCTTCTAACTATGATTCTTTGAAAATCTTCCCTTTCTCTATGGGTCAATTCTATGTATATCTACTTAGGAGTAACATTTGTTGAGCATAATGACCTGCATATGAGTAAACATGCATAGGACCAGATGATAAAGGGACACAATCTGGCTTCTTGTAGTTGCTGTGTATTTTGAAGTCATTTCTGACTTTTGGTGACCCTCAAAGTTTTCTTGACAAGATTTGTTCAGAATTGTGTTCCTTTTGCTTTCCTCTGAGGCTGAGAAAGTCACTCACTGGGTTTCCATGGCTGAGTAGGGATTCAAATTTTGGTCTATGTCCCTCTAAAAAGGGGCACAGATGCCAGCCATCCTATTCTTGCTGACAAATCACACCTTTACATAGCTATTCCCTACTCATTTTGAATCCTGTCAAATACACATTAAACCTTACTGCATTCTTATTAACACTAAGGATAGAGACACTGCTATATTTATTTCATTTATATCCCACCTTTTTCCAATATAGGAATCCTATTAAATGGATGGATGGTTGGATGGATGGATATGGATATATTAAAATATATTTAATATTAAACAACCTACACAATAAGATACATTTAAAATAGTTAAAAACATACCTAAAGTACAATGAAGATAAAAATAAAGCACATCCTATTAAAGCACTATAAGAACAGTCACAGTAGCATGTGACCTTTTCACTTTCCAAAACATACATCAGAACTTTCTTATGGCCAGAGTGGTTCATAATCAATTTTAAATTTATCCCTTCCTCAATAAGTTTTGAATATCCTTTTGAGAATTTCCCTGATTTCCTTCCTGCCCAGGAACATTAACAATTGTTTGCCACTGCTCAAAAACGTGTTATGAAAGAGCCCTGCGGTGCCTTCCGATCCAGCTCTCTCACTGACTAAACAGAAATCATGTGACTCTGATTTAATTCTTGTTGGTTTTCCTCCCAGGTCTGTATCAGCGTATAAAAAACAAATGGGTTTTCTAAAGCAACAAGATTTAATCTGCCAACCAGATGCGTGTGTTTTGTTCTTTACTGCCTGATGTTAGGGCTGACAGTACTTTTGTTTATAAACTAAAAAGACAGGTTATAACAAAAACCACTAAAGAACAAAACACATGTATCTTGTTGGCAGCTCTTTTTTACTTGGATTATTTTAAAAGAATTTACTTTAGAACATATGGTGGTAGAAAAGTGGCATCTCCTTTCACCGTTTTTATGTAAGAAGTGATGCGATGTCAGTACAGCAGTTATATGACTTAATTACATTGAAATGGTTTAGCACACCATAACTACGGTCTACACATGCTTAATGTGATCTTATTTTAGAATCATAGAATCAAAGAGTTGGAAGAGACCTCGTGGGCCATCCAGTCCAACCCCTGCCAAGAAGCAGGAATATTGCATTCAAATCACCCCTGACAGATGGCCATCCAGCCTCTGTTTAAAAGCTTCCAAAGAAGGAGCCTCCACCACACTCCGGGGCAGAGAGTTCCACTGCTGAACGGCTCTTACAGTCAGGAAGTTCTTCCTCATGTTCAGATGGAATCTCCTCTCTTGTAGTTTGAAGCCATTGTTCCGCGTAGTAGTCTCCAAGGAAGCAGAAAACAAGCTTGCTCCTTCCTCCCTGTGGCTTCCTCTCACATATTTATACATGGCTATCATATCTCCTCTCAGCCTTCTCTTCTTCAGGCTAAACATGCCCAGCTCCTGGCTGCCCATTTTGTCACCTGATACATTTCTCGGGCCAGCAATCTAAACTCCGAGGGGCGGGGGGATCTTAACCACAGTAATTAACAACAACTATACTTAATGATTAACGGAGAATTTAAGAACTAATTGTGCACCGTTAGTAAGTACAGTGGATATATATCCTGTGTGACTCTAGCACTTTACTCCATCAGCACCTTAACTTACTACCTCGGTGGTCCATTAACTTTACTGAGCCTTAGCACTTTAATCGACTCAACCATCTTGCACTGAATTTAAGTCCTCCATGACGCACTCCATTCGAGCACTTTAGAGCCAATTGATCAAGCTATTGCACTTTAATTACTTATACCATCGTTTATGTTTATGCACTTTAAGAACTCCTGCACTTTAAGAACTCCTTTGACAGTGTTAATAGCTACCATCCATGTCACTACCCATTCCCTGGCATCTGTTAATCTTGCTGCTAATTGTTTATGGTAACGAGAGGGAACGGAGTAGATTAGAAAGACCGGAGTATAACATAATAGGAGTAGGAAATGAACGGAAGGCAAGACTATGGCAACCTGGAACTATAACATACCAGACAGTCAACAATGAACGACGGGTTGATACTTTGGCTGCCGAATGCGTCATGGAGGAGGGAGAGGGTTCCGTTGGCCGGGGAGCCCCCATAGAAGTCGTGGTGGGGAGGGGGAGATACGGGAAAGGGAGACCTTTAATTCGGCCTAGGGAACGTGGAACAACATTAGTAATTCCAAATCGGTCTCCTGATATGGTAAGTTGGTGTAACCAGGATGGCGGTCCCTCCGAATTGAAAGTGGTGCTGTTGAACGCCAGATCTGTCAACGGTAAAACAACTTTCATCCAGGATTTAATCCTGGATGAACGGGCAGATCTGGCGTGCATCACAGAGACCTGGTTGGACGAAGCGGGAGGTGTAAATTTAACCCAGCTTTGCCCACCAGGTTTCTCTGTGCAGCACCAACCGAGATCCGGAGGGCGGGGAGGCGGAGTTGCAGTGGTCTATAGAGATTCCATTCTTCTGACCAGGGCCCCCATCCCGCAGTCAACAAATTCTGAATGCGTCCACCTGAGGGTGGGTGACCGGGACAGATTAGGGATTCTGTTAGTGTACCGTCCACCTCGCTGCACTACAGTCTCCCTGCCTGAGCTAGCGGGGGTGATCTCAGACCTGGCATTGGAGTCCCAACGGCTGCTTGTGCTGGTGGACTTCAATGTCCATGCCGAGGCCTCCCTATTAGGAGCAGCTCAGGACTTCATGTCTTCCATGGCAACCATGGGGCTGTCCCAACGGGTATCTGGCCCCACTCACAGTGCGGGACACACATTGGATTTGGTTTTTTGCCAGGGATGGGAGGATGGGGGCAGTGTTGAGGAGTTAACCATCTCTCCGTTGCCATGGACCGACCACTACCTGGTCAGATTTAGACTCACTGCACCTCCTAACCTCTGCAGGGGTGGAGGACCCATTAAATTGGTCCGCCCCAGGAGGCTTATGGATCCGGATGGATTCCTGATGGCTCTTGGGGAATTTCCCGCCACCGCAGTTGGTGATCCTGTTGATGCTCTGGTCGCTCTCTGGAATGGGGAGATGACTAGGGCAATAGACACGATCGCTCCAGAACGTCCCCTCTCAAGTAGCCGAGCTAAACCAGCTCCTTGGTTCACCGAGGAGCTGGCAGCGTTGAAGCGAAAGAAGAGGGAACTAGAGAGCGTGTGGCGTTCGGATCTGAGCGAGCCAAATCGAACACGGTTTGTGTCCTTTTTAAGGGCATATGCCGCGGCAATAAAAGCCGCAAAGAAAACTTTCTTTGCGGCCACTATTGCGTCTGCAAAGAACCGTCCGGCTGAACTGTTCCGAGTTGTCAGAGGCCTATTAAAACCCACCACTCAGGATGGGTGCCCTGATGACTCGGCAGCTCGCTGCGAAGCCTTTGCTCAGTTCTTTGCAGACAAAGTCGCTTTGATCCGCTCTGGACTGGATACCATATTAACGGCAGTCTCTGAGGATGTAACACGAGCATCTGCTTGTCCGGTTTTGATGGATTCATTTCAATTGGTTCAAACCGAGGATGTGGACAAGGTGCTTGGAGGAATGAGAGCTACCACATGCATCCTAGACCCCTGCCCATCCTGGCTTCTAAAGGAGGCCAGAGGGGGTGGCCGAGTGGGTTAAGGTGGTGGTTAATGCCTCCCTTCGGGAGGGCAAAATTCCAGCGAGCTTAAAACAAGCAGGTATAAAACCGCTGTTGAAGAAACCATCACTGGACCCCACTAAATTTGACAACTTTCGGCCTGTTTCCAATCTCCCCTTTTTGGGCAAAGTCATGGAAAGCGTGGTGGCCTCACAACTCCAGGTATTCTTGGTAGACACGGATATTCTGGATCCGGCACAGTCTGGTTTCAGACCGGGACATGGTACCGAGACGGTCTTGGTCGCCTTAGTGGATGATCTGCGTCGGGAGCTCGACAGGGGGAGTGTGTCCCTGTTGGTGCTGCTCGACCTCTCAGCGGCCTTCGATACCGTCGACCACGGTATCCTTCTGGGACGCCTCGCGGGGCTGGGTCTTGGAGGTACTGTTCTGCAGTGGCTCCGCTCATTCCTCGAGGGTCGGTCTCAGAAGGTGTTACTGGGAGACTCCTGTTCAACCCCACAACCTTTGTCTTGTGGGGTTCCTCAGGGTTCAATACTGTCTCCCATGTTGTTTAACATCTACATGAAGCCGCTGGGCGAGATCATCCGGAGTTTCGGAGTCCGATGTCATCTGTACGCAGATGATGTCCAACTCTGTCACTCCTTCCCACCTGCTACTAAGGAGGCTGTCGAGGTCCTGAACCGGTGCTTGGCCGCTGTGACGGTCTGGATGGGGGCGAACAAATTGAAATTGAATCCAGACAAGACAGAGGTACTCCTGGTCAGTCGCAAGGCCGAACAGGGTATAGGGTTACAGCCTGTGTTGGATGGGGTCGCACTCCCCTTGAAGACACAGGTTCGCAGCTTGGGTGTGACCCTGGATTCATCGCTGAGCCTGGAACCCCAGGTTTCGGCGGTGACCAGGGGAGCATTCGCACAGTTAAAACTTGTGCGCCAACTGCGACCGTACCTTGGGAAGTCTGACTTGGCCACGGTAGTCCACGCTCTGGTTACATCCCGTCTTGACTACTGCAACGCTCTCTACGTGGGGTTGCCTTTGAAGACGGCCCGGAAGCTCCAATTAGTCCAACGAGCGGCAGCCATGATACTAACAGGAGCGGGGCGCAGGGAGCATACAACTCCTCTGCTGCACCAGCTCCACTGGCTGCCGATCTGCTACCGGGCTCAATTCAAAGTGCTGGCGTTGGCCTTTAAAGCCCTAAACGGTTCTGGCCCAACTTATCTATCCGAACGTATCTCAGCCTATCAGCCCACCAGGACCCTAAGATCTTCTGGGGAGGCCCTGCTCTCTATCCCGCCAGCCTCACAGGTGCGGCTGGCGGGAACGAGAGACAGGGCCTTTTCTGTGGTGGCCCCTCGGCTTTGGAACACCCTCCCCATAGAGGTAAGATCAGCCCCCTCGCTGATGGTGTTTCGAAAAAGACTGAAGACATGGATGTTTGAACAAGCATTCGGTTAATCCGGTGCAACGAATTTTGATGATTAAAGGATTGGTGATCATAGACGATGAATTTGGATTGCGATTCCAGTTACGAGATGCATTTGGATTATTATTGGTGGCCCAATAATTTGTATTGTATATGTGTTTTCTATGCTTTTAAACTGAATATTGTTGTTTTTTAAGTGTTGTAAACCGCAATGAGTCGCCGATTTAGGCTGAGATATTAGCGGTATACAAGCGCATTAATAAATAAAAATAAATAAATAAATAAATCTCCTCTCAGCCTTCTCTTCTTCAGGCTAAACATGCCCAGCTCCTTAAGCTGCTCCTCATAGGGCTTGTTCTCCAGACCCTTGATCATTTTAATCGCCCTCCTCTGGACACATTCCAGCTTGTTTCCATTGGCAAAATGTTTTGTTTCCATTGGCAAAAAAGGGAGAACTCCACATTGGAACAATGTCTTAGTCACAGATCATTTGGATTTCAGTAATGTGCTACACTGGGACAGAGGCTGTTAGGAATGGTGGGAGTTGAAGTCCAAAACACCTGGAGGGAGGGCCCAAGTTGGCTTTTGGCTGCTCCAGTGTCATCATTGCTTTCCCTCAGGATTCCCCCTCATTGTCCCCCTTCGCATCGCGCACATGACTCATGGGGATTATAACAAAGGAGTCACAAGGGGGGAAAGTGTGTCACAACTACTGAGAGCCATCTTTTATTTATAAGGAAGTGGGCTGGTCTCAGAGGGCCCTTCTTCCGGGTTAAAATACGTAAACAAGGCCCCTCAAAAGGCCCTCCTCGCTGCCACTTTTGGAGCCACGGCTGGAGAGAAGTCCCAGAAGGGTTTGCCTGTGACTCTCCGCCCACCAATCTGGTGCTAGAGCATCCCCTCCGACGTCACAGTCGCTCTCGGGACGGTGGGCGGGGCCTGTGAGGGCGCCCCTTTCCCGGCCGAGGCCTGAGCCCACCGCCCTCTCCCCGGTTACCTCTCCCCGTTGGGCGGGATGACCCCTCCGCCTTCCGAGTGGTTCCTGTTCAGCGCCATGTTCCCGGCCAATGGCGCCGGGCGGGGCGGGCCTTCCCTTCCCTTTGGCGTCCCTCGTAGGCCGTGACTTCACGGCGCCAGGCCCGCCTCCCGACGCCGAAGATGGCGGGCGGCGTTAGAGCGGAGGCAGCTTGACGCCTCTCGAACTGCCCTGGCCGAATGGGATCATGGGAGTTGTAGTCCGGCGAGGCACCAGCGCGCTTGGGCAGTGAAAGCGGAAGGCCTTGTGGGACTACAACTCCCAGGATCCCATTCATAGCCTTAAAGTGATGACAAACTGCATTTATATATTGTCGAAGCTTTTAGTGGCTGGAGTGACGGTTGTTGTGAGCTTTCTGGGCTATATGGCCATGTTCCAGAAGCATTCTCTCCTGACGTTTCACCCACATCTATGGCAGGCATCCTCCGGGGTTGTGGGAACTAGGAAAGTGGGATTTATATATCTGTGTCATGTCCAGGGTGGGAGAAAGAACTCTTGTCTGTTTGAGGGACGTGTGAATGTTTCAGTTGGCCACCTTGATTAGCATTTAATGGCCTTGTGAGTGAAATGGAGGAAGGAAAGAGCCTCAAAGAGATCCCCTGCCAGAGCAGTGCCATGGAAAAATTGTAGTTGGGCCTTTTCAGAGCTGGAGAAGGGAGAAAGTAGGCAGACAGCAGTCTCTCTGACACCCAGGCAACGATGGTTATATGTGGTAATAGTGCACTGAAAGAAAGCAAAAATAAAGCGAAAGCGATAGAAGAAAAGAAAATGACCTCTGATGGTCTTTTCACCAATTATACCTGTGTCTACTTCAAGTGACCTGTTGACTTAATAGGGCTGGATTAAACTAGATGCTAACACTAATAATCTCAAAAGCCCCTTGGCAGTCCATTGTGATGTTTCCTTCCCCTCACATTCCCCAAATGAACTGACACACACACACCTCAAGTAAATAAGGCTGAAAAGGTTTTCAGTCGGATACTACTGTGAAAGCATTAAAAAATATGTTTCTGAATTATACAGTGATATGGCACCTGGACACATCAGTTGCCCAAAATGGTGACAGAAGTTCCCTCTGGGCTTCTAAAGGATTCAAAACTAGAGCAGTGTAGCCCTTTTTATTCCACAACATATCCACCATTATCCCATCAGACTTATTTTTGATAACTCATTAGTTCAGAGTTTTCCAAACATTTCATGCTGGTGACACACTTATTAGATATGCTTCATTTTGTGACACAGTTTTAGTAGAAAGCGATGGTTAAACCAAGCCTTTGCAAGAGGTACAGACACATACATAAATTGTAATCACAAAATTTATAGGAGTATAACATATCTCATGAAAAACCTCTTTATTTTTAAAAAATATGTGATTGATTGTTTAGTTTACATAGACTCAGATGTTTGTCATTACATTTGCTCAACACACCTACACACTAACATTGTGACACACTCTTTGGAAAGCTCTGCTCTAGTTTTTCAATAACCCAAGAGAACTAGGTTGTAGGCATGTGCAATCCATGGTTCTAAAGTACCGTATATTCCGGCATATAAGACGACTGGGCATATAAGACGACCCCCAACTTTTCCAGTTAAAATATAGAGTTAAGATGACTCCCATGCATAAGACTATACCCACATATAAGACGACCCCTGACTTTTGAGAAGATTTTCTTGGGTTAAAAAGTAGTCTTATACGCCAGAATATACTGTACTTACAAAACTAAAATTCTGGTGGTGAAAACTAGGAGGCGCTGGTGCTTTGCTTCTACAGTGTTGCTAAAGTTCTGGTGATGAAAATTTCAGAACTCTAACAAAACTTTCAAAACTTCATTATTATTTCATTATTGATTATTTTTATGACAGAACCAATTCGGAAATGCCTATATCATCAGTTGGGAGGCTCCTCCCCGCTCTGGCACCAATTGCTGTTCTGGCCAGAGCGAAGACAGAAGGGAGCAGAAGACATTTCCATCTTGTCTTTACTAATAATATAATATAGTATATTGTACATACATATAATATTTATAATATTATAATGTAATACAATATAATACTAGTAATAATAATACAATACTATAATTATAATTATATATTTACATTACATGTAATATTACAAATAATATTACAATATAATGGTATAGTGCAATATCATAATATATAATACTGATATTGTACTATGCTAATAATATAATATATTGTATGAAAATCTATATTGTAAGCCACTCTGAGTCCCCTTCGGGGTGAGAAGGGTGGCATATAAATGTCGTAAATAAATAAATAAATAAATTTAGAATGAAATTTTGAAAGTTTTGTTAGAGTTCTGAAATTTTCACCACCAGAACTTTAGCAACACTTTGCTTCTACAGCAACACTGTAGAAGCAAAACACCAGCGCCCCCTAGTTTTCAACACCAGAACTTTAGTTTTGTAAGTACTTTAGAACCATTTAGAACCATGGATTGCACATGCCTACTAGGTTGCAAGTAAGCAACCAGGTGTCAAATGTGTAATATATTAGCACTATAGCACAGTACTATCTCATCCATTTTATAACAACTTGTTGGTATGTTATAACTTGATCAATAACTTTAGTTCTTTCATTAATTCTAAATTCAAATGTAAGTCCTTCAGGTTTAGTTAATAAAGACAGTTAAGTTACTCCTACAATTGGTTGGAACGAATTAATGTCTGTGCCTCAATCTACTGCAGTGGTGTAACATTTCTGGTTTTTACTTGATCTGGCATTGTAAACCTTTGCACAGGAAGCAAATGTTCTGCAGGACAGTAAGGTCTTGGCCTGTTGAAACAGCTGTAGAATATATCATGCCACAATGCTGAAATCAGGGCTGTAGCCAGGGGTTTTTTTAGGGGTTCAACCCCCCCCCCCCCCCAAATTTCAGGTTAAAAAAAAACCAAATCCCCATGCTAAGTCTATGAGACACAAAAAATTAAGAGTCCCTCCAGAACTGCAAGCACTATCTCAAGCAAATATTGACAATTTATTCACACTGTCACTGCTTGCAGCAATAGCCGATGTAGCGAAGCAACCAAGTTGGGGGGGGGGGAGTGTTGAATGCTCTCATTAAGGAGGCCAGACTTGGTGGAGGTGGTTGACAGGGGCGGAGCTGCAGGCTATTGAAGGCTGCTCTGCCCCTGCTGTGCTCTTTGCTTCAGCGTGAGCTAAGAGGCAGGTTTCACCCCCCCCCCCCCAAATTTTCAACCCTCCTGGAATTTTTTTTCTGGCTGAAATTATATCTTGAGTTTGCTCATTCTGAACAAGGTATGGATGACATGTATGTGTACAAATAACCAAATAAACCACATGTTCAAATAACTTCATTTTAATCAGACAACAGAATACAGAAAGTTAAGTCTAGCAACATTTACATCACTGGTATGTTTTGTTTTTTTGTCATTTTTCTCAATAAGGGCTGGACAGATGAGTAGAGGACTTCATCATGATACTTTCATGGGATAGAGGTATTAAAAGGATCTAGACCTTGTTCATGCTTTCGTTTGTTTCTCTGCCAGAAAACAGAAACTTGCTGATCAATCTTCCATTAACTTGCTTCCAAAAGGATCTTAATTACAGTACCAAAACGATCCAGGTATATCTCAGTATACACAATTTCAGTGTGGGATTTGCAGAAGCCACAGTAGATTCTATTGTTGTCTTCTTATTGTGCGTGCCTGTTTCTCTTTTATGATATATTATTATAATACAGATCCATGTAAAACATCACAGAATAAAAACATACAAGTGGGAAACCAATATATTGCTATCTTAATAGCAATAATACAATTTCAGTGATCATCATATTAATAGAGAGCAGAGTGCTACAGAAGCACTAAGTGTACTCTGAGTATCATTTAAATTAGGGGAGTTTTGGAAGAATTAAAATACAGTTTTATAATAATCAATATCAGTTGCTGCCTGCTGCCAAAGAGGATGAACACCTGATACTCCCGCAGTTCAATCCAAAAAGATAAAAAGATCCACACTGGCATGGAGTGCATGCAAACCTTTGCTTTCCCCCATTGCAATCAGCATTTACTATATTAGACAAATAGATAGGCTAGTAAGTAGATGAGAAAGTCTTTTAAGGTAAATGGATCTGCTCAGTTCAGCATAAAGATGGGATTTTAAATCTAATCTGTGCTGAAAGTAAATTAAAAAAACAAGAGGATGTTACTTCTTTAGAGTGAAACAGGCAAAAATTGTTCAACATTAATACTCTTTTGATATACACAGACCAGACTTTCAGAGTCTTGAAACTGGTGGCCCCAAAGTAAAACACACAGTTGGAAGAATTTACACCAGCACGAATCTAGTCTTTTTTCCATGTCTGGTCTGAAGTACACCACACCTTAACTGGACAACAGCATCACTGCCTTGTATATTTTGCATTATTGTTAGTAAATGTCACCATCAAATGAACTGGATTTACAATTATGATGTTAAACACACCATACTTGACATTTAAAAAATCTTAAATAGCTAGACATTAAAGACATTCAAAGCCTTGGTCAAATTCAACTTGTTGCCATATGAGTGCAGGCAAGGCTTGAGTGACAGCTGCCAAGTCCACCCTACTTTAATTTATTCTGTGGGAATAATTCTCAGAGTATAGCAGTTTCTTCATTATTGCAAGTAATAGAAAATAATGCAAAGTACTTCATAATGTTCAATGGTAACTTGGAGAATATTGCCAATCGACATCATAAATCTGGATTTGAGTGGCTCATAGTGTGGTGACAACAAGATATATGTGACACCCCACAAATATTACACAAGCTTTATTGGAATATTTATGGCTTCACTTGAGTTCTTCAAATCCATCACTTTATGCTTTCAAATTACTTGTAAACTTTGCTTTAGGCAAAACTGGGTAAAAATTTACAAGATACAATTCTCAGGAGATGTTTAAATCATTTCTCCTTCATTAAACCCTAAAACAGAGGTGTAGCTATAGGATCCAATACTCTCCCAAATCTCGTTTAATATCTGATGGCACCTACAGCAGTCCCAAAAATGAAATAGTGGTTAAAGGTTCCCCCTTCAATATTACTTTTTTACTTTGACATTGCTTTTGGGAGACCTACACTTCAATTACAAGTGAAACTGCCCTTCCTGGAATCCTTCAGAACTGGAAAAAATACCATTTAAAAATACTGGGAGGGATTGCAGACCTCAGGAGGGGAAATGTATTTTGACTACCTCTGAATTAAACATTCTTAGAGTACTTCCATTCCCTTTGTGTTATTTCTTATCTCTCTGCCTTGGAACATTTTTTTAAAATCGAACTTTTCAGAGTACAGTTGTACTTCTGAGGCAGCGTACATTTTTTTTAAAAAAAGTTGTAATGTAACAGTAATTTGATAAAATTACAGAGCAAAACTGTAACTGAAGAACATTAAAATACTAGCAATTAATGTGCTATTATTTTTTGCATTGAAATTCTTTTCAATGTCCACTTGCCTTCCCTATCCTATTTTAAGAAATCATTAGAAATTCCCTTTTTAATTTATTTCTTGATGTTCTAATTAACTCATTTTATGCTTTTTCCTACTCCTGGGTTAATTATTGCATAGTTTTGCTTTATTCTATTTGGTTTTGGCTTTTAATGTAGTTTAGCTAGTCCATAGCTTTCCATTTCCCCCTCTCCCTTCTCCTTTTGTCTCTTATTTTTTAGATTGCAAGTCTACACAAACAATTTGTTAATTTTGTTTCTATCCAGTGCAGATATTTTTAGGCACTTCCATATATGATGTTTTAGCTTCAGTCTGTTTGAAAACATACTCATGGAAGAACCCACAAAATGCAATTTGAATGTAATTTAAGCAACGTTTAGGATTCTCCATAAGACAGTTGAACTGTTTGCAGTAGTCCAAACTGGAACATATTTTGGAAATACATTTTCAGCTGTAGATTGTTCTTGATATTCTGAATTGGTTGGTTGATATGGAAAGGGAAACCATAAACATAAATTAAAACTGCAGATCTTAGAAAAGGTTAACATTTTTGCTTAGAAAGATTTTCTACCAAAAAGGCTTAGTTTACTGCATTAAATTAGTGGACATTTGAGACAGATGGTTGACAGAGGTTGAAATGACCACAAGCAACATTGCTACTCGATTACTAACAAAACAGAAGGATGGATATATAAGCAATATTTCCAGGAAAGAATGTTTTTTAAAAAAAGACTTTTCCTTGCTTTTGGAAAAGGTTTTTTTGCTTGAATGTAGATGAAGAAACAACTGATATGCCTGAATTCCAGCACCATTCTGAAAGCTTTCCTAACTAACATGTTACACAAAACAGCGCTGATGCAGGTTGAAAGGTAGTACAGTGTTCCCTCACCTATCGCGGGTGTTACGTTCCAGGACTACCCACAAAAAGTGAAAATCCACTAAGTAGGGACACTATATATGTATATCAAGTTCTGAGGGTGAGGCAGCTATCTCTGCCTTGCTAGCTATCTCTGCTTTGCTTTGCAATCCCTCTTGATTGGCTGCCTCTCTCCCGAGGGGGAGGGTGAAACCCCCTTTCACTCCATCGTTGCCAGGCGGTGGGATTAGAATGCCACTCTGGGTAACTGCAACCATTCATAAACTGGGAGGCAAAAACTCACGACATAGTGAGTCTGCGAAAAGCATACCGCGAAGTAGCACGGGAACACTGTATAACTCCTTTAGCCCATTTCCTCTACTTTGACTCCCAACAAAGCAAGCAAGAGCAGATATAGAAGCAGACCTTCTAGAAATGTCCTGCTTTGTCCAGTGATGCTTATGTATATGGGAAGACCAACATGATACTGAAAAGACCTCTAAAAAAGTACCTCAAGAATATCTGATAACCTCTTCTGATGTACACAGTTATCCTGATTATCATTCCTATCCCCAAGCTATATGCCAATGCTTTTGTTATTACATTGGAACATTTAGGCTGCCATCCTTTACACACTTACTTTAGAGCAAGCCACTCTGTGGAATTCACTTCTGAGAGGACATGTAGAGAACTACGCTGTTTCTACATTTTAAAGAAAATTACAATGCTTCTAACTACTATGTTACAGCAATAATCGTTATCATAAAGAAGACTATAGTAATAACATGCACTTCCTGCAGCTATTACAGTAATAAATGACCCTTATGGCTTTACAGATCTTCAGATATGTCATGAAATTAGATCTCACTCTTGAAAATCATACACAAAAATCCTCTTGGCCAGATTAAGATCAACAAGCTCATTTCATTCATGGCATAAATTATGTTTGGTTAAGCATATTCATAGCCTACTGATCTCACTGGCCTCTCGATGGCAGAGCTAGATAGATAAAGAAATAAGGTAGAATATAAATACATTAAAAATAAAAGCCTGTCTCAGTTATGTGTTTTCTTGAAGGCAGATCACAAGGAACAGTAAGACCTTTTTTTTCAAAATCCTAGGATCCGTGGACTGAATTTGAAACCAATAAGTCTACACATGCTAAACTAAGAATGTTTCTGTTGAATATTGTCTGTTAGCAAACAGTTAAATCAGTATGGAAATAAATGTGGAAGTGGCATAAGTACAGTGGGTGGTTCCAGATGGGGTTTTAATTCCACAAGTATCCTAACCCATTCACAAAATTTTACAGGAGATCCAGACATCATCATTTCCCATCCTGTAACATGTTTTATAAACATTTCTTCCATATTTTTTATTTTGACAAAATATCACAAAGAGGAAAAGACAGAACAGTTACACAGTATGTTTTGATTGGTAACACTAGGAGTTCTCCATCTGAAAACACCTTGTACTGGGGGTAAGGAAGAAATGTGTTTCCAGATTTTGCTAGATTGCCATTATCCATGGCCAACACAGCTAGTTGGGAAGGATCATGGGAATTGGAGTCTGTCAACATCTAAAGGGTAACACTTTTTCATCCCTGCTGTATAGATGGGTTTTCTTCAAGCAATAGAGGATAGTTATCTAAGGAAGAAAAGTCTCACTTCGTGAATTTAAACATAGAATAACAAACCCATTGGAAATCCATAAGCATGGTTCCTGCAAAGATAGGTTCTGTCTCTCTAATATTTCAGAGCTATATGAGAGTATTAATAAACAAGTGTGGAGGGTTGGTCTGGTCAATATTATTTACTTAGGCATCGGAGCCCCCAGTGATACAATGGGTTAAATCCTTGTGCCAGCAGGACTGCTGACTGACAGGTCAGTGGTTCTAATCCAGGGAGAGCTGAGTGAGCTCCCACCTGTCAGCTCCAGCTTCTCATGCAGGGACATGAGAGAAGCCTCCCACAAGGATGGTAAAACATCAAACATCCAGGCCTCCCCTAGGCAACATCCTTGCAGATGGCCAATTCTCTCACACCAGAAGTGACTTGCAATTTCTCAAGTCACTCCTGACACACACACAAAAACCCCTTAGGCATCTGAAATTCTTTTGATAATGTCCCTCACCAAAGAACCCTGATTATACTTAGCAACCATGGAATAATAGGAGGATTGCTTGTATGGATTGCTAACTTGTTAAACAGTAGAAAACAGAGAAGAGGTCATTTCTCAAAATGTAGAGATGTATACAGTGTGGTTTACCATGGGCTAGTATTGGGCCTGATGCTTTTAAATTTGCTCATATATAATCAATGACAAGTGAGCAGCGAGGTGGCTAAGTCTGCCGATGACACCAATTGATTAAAACTGAAACGAGCTCCTGTATCATCAGATGTAGGCTACAATGACAGTGCTCTGTTGTCATAACTGCCAGTGCCATGTGTCAAAAGGCTTAGCTTTTAAGTCAAGGCAAAAACCCCGAAGGAGGAGTTTCCAAGGTGCTGCAGATCAGGATGCTGGGAAATGTCAACTATGGTACATTGCTCTCCTGATTGCAAACTGCATTGAGCTGGAGGGAGCTGGAGGGACCCCTGGGGTTCTACCAGAGCTGCATGTCTCAAAATGCTTTATGGTCAGAAAAGCACTGTGATTGTCATTTCCCAACAACTTGATCTGCAGTGCCTCATAACCCTTCAGCTGTCTGGCTCAAGGAGTAGGTTTTCGAGGCCACATTTGGTCACTGACAATCATAAATGTAAATCCCCAAAGTTACTATATAGTACATTTGTCTTACTGTCTTGTTAGTATTGGACAGTATGCCGCAACTGGCAGAGCTCTGAACTTATTTCTCCAAACTGGTAAAAATATGGAACCAGTGTATTGTGCAAGTGAGTCCCCCATCCCCTCCCCCCCACCAAAAAAGGGCCAGATTTCATGATGGGCATAATTAGAAATCAAAAATAAAACTGCCAATACTATGTATCTTTTATACAAAACCAAAGTGTGGCCATACTATAAATGCCGTGTATAGTTCTAATAGCTGAAAAAAATACTGTAGAGCTAGAAATAACAAAATCGTAGAATTTACCACCATAGCAAATAATTAAATTGTGGAATTTATAACCGCAATGTGCAGTTAAGGGTTGCGAACTTGGATAGCTTTTAAAAAGGGTACAAATCCATATTGGATGGCTTCAAAGGCAGATAGTATCAGCTGCAGGGAAACATGAGCAGATAGACAGAGTTGCCTTCATGCCCTGCTTGTGTGGTTCCTGTATGCAACTGGTTGATCCCTGTGTGGACAGTGTTCTGGAGTCTTTGGTCTGCTCTAGATTGGCTTTTCTTATGTTTTTGTGTATATATGCAAAAGCATGTGTATCTGGTATGTGGTCATCAACTTGAACAGATCTGGGTCCCTAGAGTAGGAAATCCGCTTGGAAGGGCCTTAGAGCACCTCTTGCCTTAGCCTTTTCAATGAGATTTAGAAATCACCAAAAAAGTGTTTTGACTAGCCAGCCCTCTACATCCATGGATTTTTCATCCATAGATTCAACCAACTACAGCTCTAAAATATGTATTTGGGGGCAGGGGATTCAAAAAAATAAACCTTGATTTTGCTGCATGCTAAACATTACATTGAAGTGTAGGTATACCCTGTTGTAGCCTTAAGCCATTTCAGGTCCTTGGACTCTCTCTAGCACTCATTCTGGTTTATCTTTGCTTGCTGTTATCATCTTCCTCCCTCCATGTGCCCCCTTTTCCCTTGCTCCTCATCCAACACAATAGCCATTTTAGGGAAAACATGCAGGCTGTGGCTTGAGGTGAGGTAAGGGAAGAGGAAGTAGTAAAAGAAGATGGATTAGAAGGCAAAAGACAGGATGCCAGGGAAGGAGATATGGCAGTGTCAAGTGAAGCAAAGGAGATCAGGTGAGGCAATAAGAGCAGGGGGAAAGAAGTGGTGAGGATACTCCCAGAAGTGGGGAGCAGCCTCATTTTGTGTCCTGCTCTCTTAGGCAGCTATCTCAACTTGCCCAATGAATGAACCTGTTGTTGATAAAAGATGTATAAATGTTTAAAAATGAGAATGGGTGGTTTCTTCTTTGAAAGGAGGAGCAATACTGTTCAGAGTTTCTCACATCCCAGAAAGTATCATGATCACTTTCTGGAGTGTAATAAAGGAAGGCAGAGTGGAACAGAGACTATTCAGGACTTGCCCAAGGCAGTGAAATCCTTGTGACATTACAAGACCACTTCTGCTTTCTAAGCTTCGCACAGATGTCCAAACATCTTTAGACTTTTTCTCCAGAGCCACAGAAGCTAGGCACTTGCTCTTTAAAAAAAAGCTTGGGATCAAGATTTTCTGAAACACAGAAGATATCAGAAGATATATTCTGTCACTGGCAGTAAGTCAGCAATCCCATGGGTAGGCTACTTGGGCAAAGCCTATCATGAGTAAAGTCAGAATAAGAATGCTATATTGTGTCCTCAGTAGCCTCTTCATGCTGTTTGACCTCTCCCTGTATAGTATGTAGGGACCTCTTGGGTGGGGAGGGGTAATAGGCCCATCCCACGGTGTTCTCTGCTTAGCAGAAAGCTATCCCCTCATAGTCAATGAGTCAGAGGGAGAAAGGCACAATTGGAACATGTCCTATTTGTCATGTTTCTACCTGCTGCAACAATCCAAAAAGGACTGTCAGAGTGATGTATCTTTATTTAAAGCATTCTTAGGGCAACTCTATAAAGCGCTCTTAGGGCAGTTCTAATAGCAGAACCAAGAGATCGGACAATGTAATGATGACTTAAAGGTGGTCTTTGTACCTAACAAAAATTGTTTGCACCACAGTCTGAAATGTTTCTTTCTGCAAAATACTTTTTTTCTACACCAAGAAAACTATTACTTACAGATCAAATGTCAATTCTTTTTTCTTTCTTTCTCTACAGCTTTGTCTCCAATCAGTCTTTTGACAGAAAACAAAGAAACCCAAATCCATCTTTCCACACTGAAACATTATTTCTAATTAAACACATTTGCCTGGCAACAAATCCCCGCATCAATTTCACTGGCACTTACTACCACACAACAGTGCTTAAATGCCAGTCTAAAATCTATTTTTCCTTCTTCTATGTTGAGAAGTGAATCTATGACACAAACCAACTATCACAGTGCAAAGCAACCCAATCTCTTCCAGACCAGTGACACTTGCATCCAAAGTATGGCTTTCTGATTCCTCCATAGTGCTCACAACACCCCTCACTGATCTCATTTTTTCCCTCCTCTTTGGAAGCATTTCACGTGCCCCAGAGATTTTACCATTTCCAAAATACCCCAAACATTTCCCACAATCAGGATGCACAACTGAATACTGGAATACAAAGGAAGACTAGAGTCTGCTGTGCAAAATACAAAATTTGAATAATAATAATATTAATAATAATAATAACAGAACAAAATGGGGACGTTTGGAGAAAGTGGAGGGCCACATCCCACATTCTTCCCCCTTATGCACACACAAAGGGTATTCCACATGCTTCTAAGAGAGGCCTGAATTCAAATCAAGGGATGGGGAAAGAGTGGATATGATTCCAAGACAGCAGACAACAGGATGGGTCATTCACAGGTTACTTTCGTGGTTTTCTTCTGTTTCTACGGTCACTGGAGGGAGTCCTCCATTGTCATTCAGTCGTTTAGCCCTGTAAGTCTCATAGTGGATGTTGTGTGTTACTTCTTTTAAATCCTGAAGATGGGTCCTGAGGAACAGCAGAAAAAGAAGAATGCAAGAGCAAAAAAAGAGAGAAAGGGGACATTTTCCACATTATGCAAGTACAGCAGCACTTGTGCAACTCTTTGAATGTTCAAAAAACAGAAGGGATGGCAAACTAATATAGGCTCCACAAAGTCACCCGTTCACTAATTAATGCAACATTTCTTGTACTTTTATCAGTTTAAAAGGTGTACATGGCTTATTTTTAATTTCCTAATGATCATCATAGCAAAATTTCCTTCTGACCTCAACTTAACCTCGTTTAGAATTATGAGAAAGTTAGGCACCATCTTCACATGTTCCACTTTTGTACCCTTTTCTTGAATCTACTGCTAATCTATTTCTTCAGATGATTCTGAATACTAATATGAGAAAGGTAAGGAAAGTCTCATGTTGCCACTTCCTATTCACCATGCATGTTTTTCTATTGTATCTCTCCCCCACTCCTGGGTTATCATTATTCTGAGTTATTTTTAAAATCCTGACTGGCATGAATGGGTAGGTAGGTGGGAATATGTCCAATCTCATGTTTTTGAACTGCAACTTTCATCATCCTACACCACTACCTAAACTAATTATGGATTATGCAAATTGCCTACCTCTGTTCTAACACCTTGAACGTTTTGGCTGCCCATTCTAACTCTATGATGTTCTTATTGAGAGTGAATGCTTTTAAGATAACAGGACAATAAACAACATTACAACTGGAGTTGTACCACTTTGGCCCCTTTCACACAGCTGAATAAAATCCCACATTATCTGCTTTGAATTGGAATATATAGCATTGTGGACTCAGATAACCAATTTAAAAACAGATATTGTGGGATTTCTTGCCTTGATATTCTGGGTTACATGGTTGTGTAGAAGGGCCCCTGGTTAAATAAGGACAATGTGATACAAGTGGTATCATTTTCAGTCTCTTGCCTAATACACATTCACATGGAGTTGTCCATTTTCACTGAGCTATTCAGCTTGATTAAGATCACATTTCAGGAGAGTAATAGCCATTTCAAATCCAATCAGTTAACTATTCCAAATTCCATGCTAAATGATATCACCACTCTTGTATGCGTATATATTTTTTTCATTCAGTTTAGATCTTACCAACAATGTATTTTCAGTTTAATAGACATAACTCTTCAATGGGGAATCAACTCACCTAATGACAAAGTCTCGGAGTAGAGCAAATTCACAGTGGTTGAGATTCTCCACTGTAAATAAAGGAAAACACATATATCATGCCTTAAATAGAACTCAGTTTTTATCATTTCAGAAGCAAATTGAGAATACAGTAATAATGTATTTAAAAATCACAAACAAAGCCAAAAACTTGGCATTATGCTAGACTTCTTTTAACCAGAAGCTGGCCACCTCAAGTGCCTCTGATGTCATTGGAAGGATTCAGTAAAAGAATAACAGAACTGAAAAGAAGCTATCAAGCAGCAGTAGTAAAAATAGAGTGCCTGAATTTAACATACACACCCTGCCCCCAAGATCTTCCTTACGTCTGAGATAGTGGATCTAGATTTGTGCATTGGACAACTATGGAGATCAGGGTTTGAATCGCCCCTCGGCCACGGAAACCCACTGAGTTGTCTTGGGCAAGTCATGCTTTTTTCAGCCTCAAAGAAAGATAGAGGCAAACCCTCTTTGAGAAAATATTGCCAAATATAATAGGTTCATCTTGGGGCAGCCATAAGTCAGAAATTACTTTAAGGCATACAGCAACAACAAAGTAAATGTATCACTTAAACACATTTCAATTCCAAGCTGTAACACAAAAAACTATAGGAAAATCTGTAGGGGTGGGGCTCTAAGGCCTTTGACCTTGGAAAACTAAGCAGCTTGACCCATTAACCAAACAAATTATTGATGGTTAGTTGACTATCATTTTAAAAAGAGTAGTCTCTGATAATCCCAGGGATGTCAATGTTAAGAGAGCAATACATTTCCTCCAACAACACTAGTGGTACCATTTTAGGACCTGTTGATTTTTCTGTCTTTTCATCTGCACATTATTGATATCCAATAAGATCACACAAAAACCATAGAACTGATGTACATCTCTACCTTCAATAACTCCCCAAGGTGTCTTCCTGCCGAGGACCCTTTTCCCATTCACTTGATACTCCTTGTCACTGCCTACCACTGCAAATGGCATACTTTCCTGCTGAAAAATACATAGTAAAATGAACTTGTGTTAATTTTCTTCCTCATCTTTTCCCTGAAATTGTTTCTGTCTCTGTCATGACACCTTATTCCTGCAACACATTATTTTATTGAATAATACATACGTTTATCTATTTTTAATTACTCAGTCAGGTCTTTACACTATAGATACCATCATAATGAAAATCAAAGCAATGTATGCTTAAAAGTGTTCGATGAAACTTACTGCCTAATAAGTGTGTTAACAATTGGAGCATTAGCATTTGCACACCATTAATTTATTTCTGTATCATGTAGGAACTTTCTTAGACACACTACCATTTTACTTAACAGTATTCACAATAGGATTGTTATAAATTAATACTGAACAAGTTGAAATGCTAGTACCAACTTAATAATATTGCTTAGACGCAACACGAAAACACCAGTTAAATGTGGGCCTGCACCAAATGAAGTTGATGTATGCTGCAATATATAAACTTACATGAGGTTAAGTCAGTGGGATATATTTATGAGTAGGTACATAGTTATGCTATTAATAAACAACTGACCAACAAGTTCTGAGAACATGAGGAATAGGCATATATGTGGGTAATGGTCACACCAAGCACTTAAGAGCCACATTACATATTTAATATATAAAATATGGTATCTATGTTTTAATTAAAGCAATTAAGAGAAAATAATCTGCAAAACACTGAGAGAGCAGTGTGCGCCTGACAAAACGATTGTATCCGGAATTTGCTTTCTGTAAGTAGAAAGGTTCTGCTCACAAAAAGTGCTCTACTCCATTTGCAAGGATGTTCCTTCCCCTTCAAGGAACCCTTCCCCTCTACCAATCCAGTTAAATATTGGCCAAATATAGATCCAATGCACACAATATAAATATGTATGAAGACAGAAAGTTGACATTATTTTTTTATTTAGCCTGACCTGTCAAAAAAAATGTGATCTAGTTATTACCAAAAGTTCAACCTAAAATAAATGTTATTTTAAATTAATTTGGAAGAATCTATAGTTTAACTGCACCCTTCCCTCTGCCACTCTGTATAGTTGAAACTTTTAACTAGCTATACCTAAGTAATCAATCCAGCTCATATTAAGCAAGGTGAAAATTCATCAGTAATCATTAAATTCCAGTGATCATTCTATGATAGATAGCCAGTGTGGTGTAGGGCTTTGAGCATTGGACTACAACTCGGGAGAGCCTCTGCTTGACCATGGAAATCTACCTGATAACCTAGCACAAGCCCACACTCTCAGCTCATGTGATGGTTTCACTTTGTAGTTGCCATAAACTGGCAAAAAAACAACAACAACCCAAATCATTTTATGATAACAAGACCGATGCAATAGTCCATCAATTACTGTTGTAGACATCTTACTCTGATTTTGTCGTTCTCTGTCTTATCTTCAAGGTCTTCATCAAACTCTTTCTGGGGATAAAATTCAATTCCATTGACTTCTAATTCCTTGCGGACCTAAAGTAGGGAAACATTTCAAAATGAAAAGCTACACAAGAAGAGTATTTCTGACACATCTCTGAAACTGTGAGTGTATTTATAGGTTTGCTGAATGATTTCTCAATAAAGAGATACTTTTTAATTTATTTTGTGTCAAAAGTATTTCATAAAAAAGTTTAAAACTGATAAAATGGAGCACAAGAAATTAAACAGTTTTAGACCAAAAATGGGCAATAGCCACTGCATCTTCTGTAGCTTTAAATAATTCTTCTTCTGTGCATGAGGCAGGGCATTGTGGGCAAGCATACACATACGAAGTTGTTTGTTCTGCTCCACAGTGGCACTAAGTGGAGGATTCTTCTAGTTAATGCCATTTTGCCAGGTTGTCTTTTGATCTGCCCACTCCGCTTTGAGTCTGTTTAGGGACTTCCAAGTTTCCCATTCTTGGTTTGCCCTGGGAGGAAGACACTAGTGGGGGCCATCCAATCAGAATTTCCTGGTTTAGCTTCCCAGAGAGATTCTCTTGCTGTTGCTGGGGGAACATTAAGAGAGTGGTGCTTCTCATGAAGCTTTCCCTTGATTTGAGTCTACTAGGAGGAGGCTGCTAGCCATATAGTGAATGGCTTTCACAGTGTTCAACCTTATTTCTGTCACAGTTAGCAGCAACTTCCCATCACACATCAGGGGAGGGCAATGCCAGCTAGCTTATAGAGTCCATCAACAGGTGTAGGTTTGAGACATCCTGTGATTATTCTACATGTCTCATTCAGTGCTACATTCACCTGCTTTGCGTGGACAGATTTATGTCAGATGGGGCAGGCATACTTACCCTCTGTTTAAACTCTATCTTCTCTTCCAGGGTCATGGTATCTGCCTTGGCAATAACTGGGATGATGTTGACTACTTTGCTCAAATGTTTCATGAATTCCATATCTAAAGGTCGCAAGCTACAGCCAAGGGAATAAAATGATTAGAACATCATCATATTCCTATATACAAAAGAAATAACTTCCTGATAGTCCTAGCCTTCCCACAGAACTAAAATATTATGTGTCATATCTAGGCCACGAGAAGGAAGGAACATGAAGTTCCTCTGTGATTATATGCATCTGCCTTTTCTTCCACGGCTATGGATTTCAATAGTGATTACAAACACAGAGAGAGCTGATAGAAAGAAAAAAAGATTAAACAAGGAGGCTTGGAAAGGAAAAAAGAGAAAAATGAGGGAAAGGGGGCTTTGCTACATGGTGTTGTGTGTAAATACTATACAGAGACATTTATTTTGCCAAATAGGCACTTGGAAACTCTTGACAGGTAGCAGATTCCCAATGAGCTTATACTGTCAAGAAAGTTGTATCATCTTAACAGAACTTAGAAAGTTACATTTGAGATGTAATTCATCTGCATTACTCATTATTTAGTATTTTGAAAATAATGTGTTATACTCAATGTTGCATTTCCCATTGTTTTGGTTGTTACTTTTCATTGCACATATCTTTAGAAATTATAAGTATTTTGAAAATAATGTGTTGTCATTACTCATTGCAATGTTGACAAAACGACTTGTTGCATTGCCTATTACATTACAGTAGAGTCTCGCTTATCCAACACAAATGGGCCGGCAGAACGCTGGATAAGCGAAAATGTTGGATAGTAAGGTGGGATTAAGCAAAAACTTATTTAATGACAAATTACATTATGATTTTACAAATTAAGCACCAAAACAGAACGTTGTATGAGGGAAGGTTGGATAAGTGAGACTCTACTGTAGTTGTTATTTAACCACCATCAGCCCTATCCACAGAAATTTACGGACATACAGAAAAATTGTGATACATACGAGTGACCTGTAGGAGAGATAAAGTAGAGGCAACAGTGAACTCTTGTGTCTGGGATTCGTTTCTTTCTTGCAATATTCACTTCTTCCTTCAGGAATTTCTCATATTGCTCATTGATATATTTCTCTATGGGTTCCCAGCTAAGAGAGTTGAAAAGAGGAGGGAAATTCAGGTATCATACACTTAGAGTTCCATTACTTGTTATAAGCCCAACAAATAAATAATACTGATTGCCTTTTTATGTATGCCGGTGAATTTGCACTTGCCCAAGGAGGGAATCTACTGTGGTTTTGGCATACCTTGGTCCTACATCAAAGTGATGTAGGGAAACCAGGTGTTGCAAGGTTGAAACACGAGCACTTTTAGATACATGGGGACAATAAGATCATCTACCACACCCTTCAAGTTTTTCTGTTCCCTCTGGGGGTGGGGCCGTTAGGAATTGTGGGAGTTGAAGTCAAAAACATATGGAGGGCTGAAGTTTGTTCATGCCTGGTTTATACTGTAGAATTAATGCAGTTTGACACTACTTTAGCTGTCATGGCTCAATGCTAAGGATTCATGAGAGTTGTAGTTTGGTGAGGCACCTGTTCTCTTTGGGAGAAAAAGGCTAAAGACTTCATAAAACTACAGCTCTCATGATTCCATATCATTGAACCATGACAGTTAAAGGGGAGCCAAACTGCATTAACTCTACAATGTAGATGCAACCAGAATGGGATGCAGAATATATGCCCATTCATTCATCAACATAGTCTTGCCAGATCTGAAAACAAGGAAATATGATAGATTTTCTTAAATTGCCTATGCTACCAAAAGTCTTCTAATTCTTCAGAAGAGTTCTTCAGTGTGGACTGAGGATCTTTGCCACCATTTTATGTGGAAGATACACGATTTTCCTGCTCCTGCACAGTGGTCCACAATTTAGATTTATGTAACCCCACTAGTAGAATATGCTTTTGAACTATGGTGTTGGAGGAAAATTCTGAGAATGCCTTGGACCGCAAGAGGATCAAACTAGCCCATACTCCAGAAAATAAAGCCTTACTGCTCACTGGAGGGAAGGATATTGGAGTCAAAGATGAAGTACTTTGGCCACATAATGAGAAGACAGGAAAGCTTAGAGAAGACAATGATGCTGGGGAAAATGGAAGGGAAAAGGAAGGGGAAGACCAAGAGCAAGATGGATGGATGGATGGTATCCTTAAAGTGACTGGCTTGACTTTGAAGAAACTGAGGATGGTCTCGGCCAACAGGGAGCTCTGGCGTGGGCTAGTCCATGAGGTTACGAAGAGTTGGAGCAACTGAACGAAGAAACATAACAACTACTAGGTCATGATTCATCTAGTGGAATTGTATGTGTCCATAATTCCTGTTTTACATAGCTTCTTAACATTTCTGTATTACCAAAAAGTCCATTTTTACTGCTCATTGTATATATATTTATGTTGAACTTACTGACCTGGCACCTAACTGGTATATACAGTATAACATCAGCTTTGTTGTGCTGAGAAACTGGGATTTGAGAACATCCCCAGCCTTTTACTATCTTCCCACCTCAAGGGAAGCTTGTCTCAGAACAAGGAAATTTTGCCTATCTCTTTTGCCTGTCTATTTTTCCTCTATTTACTTATTTGAGTTACTCAACAGAAATAGAGATTAAAACTGAGAATTAATATAGGGACAAAACACTTACCAGTTTTCATTGTTGATCTGGTCACCAAATCCAGGTGTATCAATAACTGTCAACTTCATTTTGACACCACCTTCTTCAATAACTGAGAGAGAACATGTTATTAATTCACATTTAAAACAAACATTTCTGCAGTAATTAAGATGTCCGCATGTACATGCTTTCAAGTCACCTATCAACATATAGCAACCTCATTAATTTCATAGGCTTTTCTTAGGCAAAGAATACTCAGAGGTAACTTTGCCAATTCCTTCCTCTGAAATATAGCATACAGCACCTGGAATACACTGGGAGTCTCCCATCCAAATACTAACCAGGCCTTATCATGTTTAGCTTCCAAAATCTGATGGGATCTCGGACATGAAGCTCCCTAAATATAGGACTAAATGAAAATGGAAGAGGTCTCTCTCAAAGTATAAATTCCTTTAGAAATAACTACAATTATTTATGTCTTTAGATATTCTAGGTGGATGATGGAAACTGAGCACAACAGAGCATGGATCCTTGGCATGATCCCCATTTTCACACCTATACAGACACTATATATTGGGCCTGATGTGTGGTGATTCTGGTGGACTCTCTGATGAGGTCCTGGCCTTAGTGTCTTTCACAGAGAATGAAGATATACTGTTTGAATGTCAAGAAGGAAATGAAACAGATGACTTTCAAAAGTCCACTGCCTAAGTTCTTACCATGCCCAATCGCTTTGATTTCTACTGTCTTGGGGATCTTCTCCTCCCGGTTCCAGCCTGAAGACTTGCGACTCACTTGGGATTTGAATAAGGTGTTCACAAGAGTTGATTTTCCCAGCCCACTTTGTCCTAGTAAAAGAAATGTACAGTATTTTTCACAACTCTTTCAAGTTCTTCCTTACAACTATGTTTCGCCTTGTTGCTACAAGAAAAGAGGGCTTCCTGCATTTTTGATTTAGTGTGTCTGCATACAACAAGTTTTGCAAACAGAGGCTCCTAGGAATGCTGGTCTGTTTGTGGCAAGGGCACCAAGACAGCCACACTGACAGCATATGGGTCACATAGCCCAAGCCTATCCCCTCCAGAACTTTTAATAATTACTTTTTTTGTTATGTAGACCAAACTAGGTGTCATTGAAACGTAGAATTTTTTTCAAGCCCTGGTCCCATCATACAGTCATTATACCCAACCCTTCCTACCTACAACCATAATGTTGAAGTCAAATCCAGTTTTCATGGTCTTCTTGCGCATTTGCTCGATGATGGTGTCGATTCCAATGTAGCCTAGTAGGTTAGAATTAATGCCAACAGGTTTCATTGGCACCACTGGCTTTGGCCTGGGCTCTGGCACCACTTCAGACATGGCTGCTTCAGGCTTGGTTTCTGCTGGGCCTGTAAGCAGAAGGGAAATAAGTGGTTAATTTCATTCAAAGACATCCACACTCACTAATCTGCATGCTGAAATCCTAATTCCATTTTTGTTCACATTGAACCAGTGGTTCCAACCTTTGAACTTCCAGGTGTTTTGGACTTCAACACCCAGAAATCTCAGCCAGCTTACCAGCTGTTAGGAACTGTGGGAAGTCCAAAACACTTGGGGCCCAAACACTGGGAACCACTGCGGGACTGAACAAAGTGCAAAGGAACTAAGGTAGTTCTACCTGTTTAAAGGTCCCTTTTGAATGTCATTTCTCTGAAGCCTCCAGCCACTGGTTGGGGAGATTCTGAGAACTGTAGGCTAAAAGCTAATCTTTGAGAGACTAGCCATGAATAGCCATATTTTTACAAATACAACACCAGCATGCATATTGTTCTGCACAGAAATTAAGAGAGATGTCTTAGCTAAAGGGTATCTCCTCATCTGCTACAAGTAAGTTGAAAATCAATGATGCCTTAGAACCTTTTTCCACCCCACAATATGTTGGTAAGTTGAAACAGCATCTATTAAATCCAAACAAATGGTAATTACGCAGACCAGTCCCCATTCCCTTTTCAAAACCCCATTACCTTCTTTTGAAATTGCAACACCTAGTGTTGGGTAGTGCAACCTAAATGTGATTTGGCCAACTGAACAGAAAGAAGAGTAATCACATCATAGCAACAATGTGGTACAACATACATGGCATAGAACATGCAGTAGAGATCAACAAGCCGATAACTCAATGTCACTTTGAGTCTTCTTGTGGAGAGAAAAAGCAGGGTATAAACAGAAAAATAATAATAACAACACCATAAAATCCTTCAAATACAGAAAGATAATCTTTATACAATCCTATCCCTGATCATAAACAAGTCACTCAAATATAAAGTTTTCAACAATGCAAAGACAATTAATTTCCATCAATTCTGATTAAAATCTTGCAATATATTGTACTCCTATTTACAAAATTGGACAAAAAAACATTATTTTCTTTGACCATGATGTTGGACAAATGGAATGGATCTAGGGTTCTGGCATTTCCCTTGAACCCGGTTCCTAGTCCACCTGCCTTGTATTTCTTTCTCCCAAAGGACAAGGGATTCATTCTGCTAGAGTTTATCTGCAACTAAAAAGAATTCCTTTTCAAAGGACTGAAAGAAACCAACATCTTTTCAGCTGAATGAAAGTAAAGTACTTTGTGACTCTTACAGCACAGAGACAGCCATACTCCTTAAGAAATTGGTCTTACTCACTCATTGCCAATAGCAATGCCCAAACACTTCAAACAGTCTCCATACAGTTCTTCCTCTTTCCCTTTATGCGGTGCCAAGTCCTTTCAGAGAGTGTTGTGGGGAAGCCCTTTAAAACAAGTTTGTATCCTGTAAGGTCCAGAACTTGGAAACAAAACTTTTCTAGACTATCTCCAGAATCCTACTTCAAGCTGTGGTCCAAAAATGGAATGTTCCCAAGGATTAGGATAGCTGATGAAGGAAAATTATAAATCAGAAAATCTATGGCTGGGGCTGGCTACGTACTCTTACACAAGGCATTATTTGTTTCTCTAGTTCTGTTATGCATGTAGCATCTTCTAGTAGTTATTGGAATCCCAATGTCTGAACATCATCTGTTTGCCATTACGTTGACCCCTGACTTACTTTCAGACCCAGGTTAAGACATTCTCCTGCCCAAAATGAAAAACTAGTGTGGGCTCCCCCCTCATGTAGTCACCAACTAGACTGCCATTGAACTGCCTTCACACACAGTCTGCAAGAAATAGGAGGCAGCAGCTTCCCCCTGCAGCTATTGCCACCACTTAGGAGCAGCAGACACATAGACACCTGGTTGACCCTGCCAATAGCATTGGTTTTTCTTATTCATAGCAACATCACAGCCATTCCCTGCAGGCAGCAATGGAAGAAAATGGGGCCAAGGGGAAAAAAGGATGGAGGACTCTGATTATTGTTGTTGTTGCTTTATTATTATTTTCTTTCTTGATCAAGATCCACAGTGGCTCTTTGGGACTCGATCCAGAGTCAAACAGCCTAAAAAGCCAGAATATCATGAACTGGGGGAAGAAATGAAAGCATCAGAGTTTTGTGGTACAGTGTGCCTCACAAAAGCAACCGTAGTCAGAAAAAAATTAAATAGTTACCTGTATCAGACTAAGGAAAACTAGCTGCCAATGACAGAATGTATGTTTCATATGGATATGTGCATTACAGATAATGCTTGGGTTATAAATAAAGATTATTATTATTATTATTATTATTATTATTATTATTATTATTATTTGATACATAACAAAATTAGTACACAGCAAACAAGATTACAATGCTGGCTTTTGTATTTGATCACACGTTGGACACTTCCCTAATATGCGTGATGTATCAATGAATAATGCATGCAGATCCGAGTAGGTTGGCCTTTTGCAGCTGACAGATGGTAATTTTGTCAGCGCTGATGGTTTTCAAGTGCAGGCCAAGGTCTTTAGGCACTGCACCCAGTATACTGATCACCACTGGGACCGCCTGTACTGATTTGTGCCAGTCTTTGCAGTCGATCTTTACATCTTAATATTGTGTCAGCTTTTCCAGTTGCTTCTCGTCAATCCTGCTGTCACCTGGGATTGCAACATAGATGGTCCATACTTGGTCCCCTCCCCCCCCACCACACACACACACACACACACACACACAATTGTGAGGTCAGTAGTATTGTGCTCTAAAACTCTTGTCAGTCTGAATTCAGAAGTGCTAAAGTAGTTTTAGGTTTTCATTTTCTGTAGCTTTTTCAAGCTTGTGATTCCACCAGTTCTTTGTCACAAGCAGATGGTATTTGTGGCACAAGTTCCAATGGATCATCTGAGCAACTGTGTGGTGCCTCTGCTTGTAATTATTATTATTATTGGTAATAATAATAATAATAATAATAATAATAATAAGTCATGTGAAGACAGAATTTAAATGCAGAGACTGGTATATGTTATCCAGCACAAAGAAGGTTACTTTCACCTATTTGGATTTGCACACTTTTCAGACTATCTGATTTTAGTATAAGATTTTGTGGATTTCAGTCCACCCCCTCAGATGCACTGGTGAGACGTGAAGGTCAAAAGCAGCTCTCCTCAGCTAGAAGCCTACCTTCAACATTTCACAGTTTGTGATTTCTGTGCTTGACAGGACATTCCCTGAGGCGTCTGTTGCCATTTGCTGTCTTGAAGCAGCTTCCACCCCTTCCTAAAATAATTCAGTTGCCTCACAAAACACGAGGAGGGGTGGCCAGTTCTCAGATGTCTTGTGCTCTCCCATCCCTTTTTAAAATCATGATAAGATGTATACTGAATATAGTTCAATCCTGCAAACCACAGGATTTTGCTTAAAATAACCCTGGCATCATGTGTACTCACTATATGTGTCAATAATCTATTTTAATTTAAGTTAATTATGAGCCACCCAATGCTTAGTAATGTGGGGTTTACAAAACAAAACTGGGCCCTGGGAACAGTTAGCCGAAATGTAACTTTCCCAAGCTCTGAAGAAAAAGAAAAAAGCTAAGTATCACAAAATCAAAACTAGCTTATTTACTCTTCCCAGGCTTGTTGTTCTAACTGGTTTTGTCCACTTTTCTTTCCTTCAGTTTCCATTGTCCCACAATAAATACAGCCTTTCTTCACAAACTTTGGCATGCTCTGAGAACCCAAAAACCTTCCCCCTTCACATTGTCTTTCTTCTGAATAAGCAGCTAGAATTCCTGTCTCGTCTACTTTTGCCAAGGTTTTCTTATTTTGCCAAGCAGCTGCCTCTGCTCTTAATTTTTTCCCCTCTTCTTCTTTAAATTTCCTCTATATCCTTTGGGGCTCTAGTGCAGTATTCGAGAATTGTTGGCTTGGGCCAGTCACTTTGTGGACGTGGAGCCAATCTGACCCCATGGTTTGCACTTGCTGGCCCCTTATTTTGCTAGTCACTAGCAATTGTTGTGAGCCACTTTGCATCTCAATTAGGATAAAAGCAGGATATAAATAAATATAATAATAATAATAATAATATAATAATAATAATAATAATTTTCACAGCTATGAAGTTTCTGATAATCTTTCCCAATATAGTTTCCTTTTGTTATCTGATCATTTATTTATTTAAACCTTTAAAATGGCATTTCATCTGTAAGATATTAGGTCACTCTACAAATATTGTTAAAGTGACATAACATGATTGTACGTCTAAATAATATAGTTATTGTAGTTGGTGTGTGACTTTCCAACTTATGGCAACCCTAAGGTCAATCTAAACATTTTGTTCAGAAAGGGTTTGCCTTTGCCTTCCTTTGAAGCTGAGAGAATGTGACTTGCCCAAGGTCACCCAATGGGTTTCCATTGCTGAGCAGGGATTCAAACCCTTGTCTCCAGGATGGGAGCCCAAAGCTCAAACCACTAAATAATGCTGGCTCTCCAGTTAATATAATTCTAATGAGGGAATAGAATTAAAAAACTACCCAACTCTGAATGATGTCATCACAACAGCTAAAAGCAATAGGTATAATAAAACAAGCCAGGCACTGCAAGAATGTTTGAACGTATTCAAGAACACTTGAAGTGTTGGTGCCAATAGCATCTTGGGTGAAGGGACTCCATAACTGGAGAGCCACGGCTGACATGGCTGTCTCTCACACACTTAGTAACACATGATATACTCCAGGTACATGGGAAAGATCTTGTGATTCCCGTTGGTCACTGGCAGGCTCCTTGGCAGAATGGGACTCTTGTAAATTTTGGGTTCCAAGTTCTTTATAGCTTTACACAGAGCCACTGGCACCTTTAGTCAGAAGAAATCACTGCCACTCCTTCAAAATAGGTAGGATGTGATTCCAAGTGATTATGCAGATTACAACTCTGGCAGATTTGCTGAGGATTCAAAGCTGTCTTCAAGGGCCTGTGATAGACTTCCATCATACTTCAAGCCATAATTTAGTGTGA